CCTGTTGTAAAATGCCATTATATAATGTGCTTTTACTGTATTTATTCTTAAATGTCTTTATTTATTTTGTAAAGCACTTTGAATTGTCGCGTACTGAAAGGTGCTATATAAATAAACTTGCCTTGCCTTCAGTGCTTTGGTAGCCAAATGGTTACAGTTCGAGCCACTTGACAATGATGTCTCCGGTAGGATTCTAGATATGGGCCTTTATGCATGTTATACACTCCCCCCCCCCCCCCCCCCCCGACTATTCCAGTTGGCCTTTATGCTTTCCTAGGTCCAAATCATCTTAACCCTTGTGCCCTCCTCGGGCATTTTTGTACATTTTTCCTGACTTTTTTTTTTGATTTGGTGTTCATTTCAGCTGTGTTACAGCTTTTGGCATGGATTTTTGCAAGAAGTCTTCTTTTGAGTCAAATTTTTGAAATCCAATGTCGTTTACTCTTACATGTTTTGTATACTCTCGTGATGCATTTTGCACCCTCTGGACCCCTTCGTGGCAAAAATGTACACGCTCATAGAAACTGCTATTAAATCATCATACATCAATATTTTATTAAACTTTTTTTTCCATGAATCACTTGAACAACTTCTAACGTGCTCAAAACTACCAAACATCCAATAATTTTCAGGATTTTAACCCTTTAAATGCCTGTTTCATTATTTGAATTATTTAATTTCTCTTAAAAAAAAAACACAAAAAATGAATTTCTTTCAATATAATAATTAGTAGAGGGACGGAACTTTGGTGGTTATTAGAGTCTTGGATGTGTCAAAGATTAGCAACAAAATTGATTTGACTGCATTATTAATTTTTACGTAGTGTCAGATACTACCTCTGGACACCTTCGTGGCAAAAATGTACACGCCCAAAACAACTGCTATTAAATCATCATACATCAATATCTTTTTCTACTTTTTTTTCATGAATCACATAAACAACTTCTCACGTACTCCAAACTACCAAACATTCAATCATTGGCAGGATTTTAACCCATTAAATGCCTGTTTAATTATTTTAATTATTTCATTTCTCTCAAAAATGCCTCATTGACTTCCATTCAGACCACATTTGTTGATCTCACTGCCATTGCAGTATAAAACCATGCATTTTGTAATGTCAGCATTTCATTTAGAAGAAAAGTAGTGATATTTGATATTTCTACTCTATTCCAACAGATTACACAAGTTTCCGTGTAGGCCGATGCATTACATTCTTACATTTTTGCCAGTTATAGAGCCGTGTGACTACCAGGGGGCCCCGAGAGTGGTGTGTGTGTGTGTGTGTATGTATGTATATGTATGTGTGTGTGTGTGTGTGTGTGTGTATATGTATGTGCGTGTGTGTGTGTGTGTATATGTGCGTGTGTTTGTGTGTGTGTGTGTGTGTGTGTCATTTCCAGCAGCAGACTAGCAGGTCCTGCAGCATGTGACCTGGTGCTCTCAGGTGATAGAACAACAATTTTTTAGGCCTGTGCACAACCAACACACCTCTCCTCCCTCTCCGTGTGTGTGTGTGTGAGAATCTGTAAGCATGCACAGATCATTTCATGGGAAAAAAAGGCCATCTTTTGAGGGATGTGTTTGATGTGTCTTTGAAGAGCTGCTTGATTACTCAAAAACAAAAAACAACTGTTAGTGTGTTTATGCACCTGGCTGCCAAAGATAAACATGCAGTTTGACCAAGGGCTTATGTCATTAGTGAGCAGAGAAGGAGAAAGACCTGGAGCAAAGAGAAGGAACTCAAATGAAGAAGCTTTTCAGTGCAGAAGAGACTTCAGAAATAATCTTGCAGCCTTCTTCTGCCAGCGAGCTGCAGGACTCATCTGAAGAAGACACAAGGTTCGAGCTGGGGTCTGACACTGAATGCTCTCTGGAGTCCAGCATTTCTTTGAGTTCCTCTGACCCTTCATCTGAAAGTGGAGAGGACACTGAGGGTCCGGCCCACCATCCACCACCACGGGGGGCTTTCTTCTCACAATCTGTGAGGACACCCTGGTTTTCCCCAGCTCCTGGGAGAACGACCTCCGTTCTTCTCTGTCCCCTCACTGTGGGCCGGACCCTCAGTGTCCTCTCCACTTTCAGATGAAGGGTCAGAGGAACTCAAAGAAATGCTGGACTCCAGAGAGCATTCAGTGTCAGACCCCAGAGAGCATTCAGTGTCAGACCCCAGAGAGCATTCAGTGTCAGACCCCAGAGAGCATTCAGTGTCAGACCCCAGCTCGAACCTTGTGTCTTCTTCAGATGAGTCCTGCAGCTCGCTGGCAGAAGAAGGCTGCAAGATTATTTCTGAAGTCTCTTCTGCACTGAAAAGCTTCTTCATTTGAGTTCCTTCTCTTTGCTCCAGGTCTTTCTCCTTCTCTGCTCACTAATGAAATAAGCCCTTGGTCAAACTGCATGTTTATCTTTGGCAGCCAGGTGCATAAACACACTAACATTTGTTTTTTGTTTTTGAGTAATCAAGCAGCTCTTCAAAGACACATCAAACACATCCCTCAAAAGATGGCCTTTTGTTCCCATGAAATGATCTGTGCATGCTTACAGATTCTCACACACACACACACACACACACACACACACACACACACACACGGAGAGGGAGGAGAGGTGTGTGCTGGTTGTGCACAGGCCTAAAAAAATGTTGTTCTATCACCTGAGAGCACCAGGTCACATGCTGCAGGACCTGCTAGTCTGCTGCTGGAAATGACACACACACACACACACGCACATATACACACGCACACGCACACGCACACGCATACATATACATACACACACACACACACACACCACTCTCGGGGCCCCCTGGTAGTCACACGGCTCCATAATATAACTGGCAAAAATGTAAGAATTTAATGCATCGGCCTACAGTGGGAAAATGGTTTAATCTGTTGGAATAGAGTAGAAATATCAAATATCACTACTTTTCTTCTAAATGAAATGCTGACATTACAAAATGCATGGTTTTATACTGCAATGGCAATGATATCAACAAATGTGGTCTGAATGGAAGTCAATGAGGCATTTTTGAGATAAATGAAATAATGAAAATAATGAAACAGGCGTTTAAAGGGTTAAAATCGAAACCGAAAATGGTAGTTTTGAGTACGTTAGAAGTTGTTTATGTGATTCATGAAAAAAAAGTAGAAAAAGATATTGATGTATGATGATTTAATAGCAGTTATTATGGGCGTGTACATTTTTGCCACGAAGGTGTCCAGAGGTAGTATCTGATACTACGTAAAAAATAATAATGCAGTCAAATCAATTTTGTTGCTAATCTTTGACACATCCAAGACTCTAATAACCACCAAAGTTCCATCCCTCTACTAATTATTATATTGAAAGAAATTCATTTTTTGTGTTTTTTTGTAATAAATAATGAAATAATTCAAATAATTAAACAGGCATTTAAAGGGTTAAAATCCAGAAAAGTATTGAATGTTTGCTAGTTATGAGTATGTTATAAGTTGTTTATGTGATTCATGAAACAAAAAGTAGAAAGAAATATTGATATATGATGATTTAATAGAAGTTATTATGGGCGTGTACATTTTTGCCACGAAGGTGTCCAGAGGTAGTATCTGACACTACGTACAAAATAATAATGCAGTGAAATCAATTTTGTTGCTAATCTTTGACACATCCAAGACTCTAGTAACCACCAAAGTTTCATCCCTCTACTAATTATTATATTGAAAAATAATTATGTTTTGTGTTTTTTCGTAAGAAAAAATGAAATAATTCAAATAATTAAACAGGCATTTAAAGGGTTAAAATCCTGCCAATGACTGAATGTTTGGTAGTTTTGAATACGTTAGAAGTTGTATATGTGATTCATGAAAAAAAAAGTAGAAAAAGATATTGATGTATGATGATTTAATAGCAGTTATTATGGGCGTGTACATTTTTGCCACGAAGGTGTCCAGAGGTAGTATCTGATACTACGTAAAAAATAATAATGCAGTCAAATCAATTTTGTTGCTAATCTTTGACACATCCAAGACTCTAATAACCACCAAAGTTCCATCCCTCTACTAATTATTATATTGAAAAAAATTCATTTTTTGTGTTTTTTGTCATAAATAATGAAATAATTCAAATAATTAAACAGGCATTTAAAGGGTTAAAATCCAGAAAATTATTGAATGTTTGGTAGTTTTGAGTACGTTATAAGTTGTTTAAGTGATTCATGAAAAAAAAAGTAGAAAGAAATGTTGATGTATGATGATTTAGTAGCAGTTATTATGGGCGTGTACATTTTTGCCACGAAGGGGTCGAAAGGTTGAAAATTCGAGGAGGGCACAAGGGTTAATAAAACAACTATTATGTTCATGAGCATGGAACACCACAAAACAAAAACAATGCATTTGTTTTGGAATTTTTTTCCAGACAATTAAAGGGCTACTTCAGCAATTTCTCATTCTACTTTTATACAATTGAGCGACCTACAATAGATAGAGATTCCATACAAATTAAAACAGCAATCCAGTATATGTCCGAGTACAAGTCAAACTCATAGACTGTATCAAAAATGGACGTGACACCATCACAGAAACACAATCAAACAATCAGCTGGCTGCAAGCCAAATCTAAGGCTTCACCTGTCACTCAAAGCGACCACGCCCTCAATCAAACAAGACTTTAAGCCTAAATACAACTTAAAAGGCTAGCTGTAGATTGACAATTAGCTATAGAAACCAAATGTTTTTTGCATTAGGCTGTAAACATAATATTTTCTACTGTAAAGTTAGGAATTTTAACCACGGGTCAAGGACATCAGGGTTGCCTGAAGGACTTGACAAAGTTCCTCCAGAGATAAAGAAGGATGGGCTGACTAGTCTGTCACATCACCAGTGCAATGACTTTAATTGAGCAAAAGGTGTACGTTGTTTCCCTTAATATAGCAGGGACATGCTATCAAGCTACCTCAATCAGATTACCAGTGCTAATGCTACCATGCTAGGTTTAGTGGTGAAGTACTTTTGTTTAGTTCTCACCTATGAGGGAGTTGAGGGAGGAATAGGAGGACACCCGTCTCATTTTGTCGATGGTCTCAAAGGAGAGGATGTACTCGTCGTTGTCGGGGCTCCCCAGGGTGCTGCTGGCGCTGCTGCTGGTGCTCAGGTTACCAGGAGAGAAGGCTGCTGGTCCCCCTGAACCAAAGGAAAACACGCAACTGTTACCCTCAAATCTGAAATATCACAAGCACCATAACTGTAATACGTGAAAAATAGGAAGAGGCTATCATTTTGTTTAGAAAGCACTTTAGCTGCTGTAATAGAGCTGTATAAATAAAGTTTATTACTTTCATTATTGTCGTAAAAATACAATATTTAAATCTACATTCGATAAGGTGTGAGGTGAGTGAACAGATCTTGCAGGCTACATGGCGACACAATCATTTCCCCATAATTTAATTTCAGGCGTCGGGCTCAGTCGTCTTCTCATCACCAAACATGACTATGACTCATGAAAACCAATGACGTCATGCGTCCTCACAGCAGGCTGCTCCGTGGAAATGGAAATTGGTTATGTGTGGAAATACACTCGGCAGTTATTGATGATAAACACGGCTGTATACTGGAATAAGGGGAAATTAGAAACTCTGTCAGCAGTGGGGTTGGGGTACCAAGTGCCACTGATTTAACCCCACTATGGGCTCATGCATTACTCAGACTGGCAGTGGGAGACAGAAAAGAGTGGGGGGGCTTCAGCTGTCTGACTCAGCAGTGACACAACAGGAGGTTAAAGTGACGGCAGGCCATGTGTTCACAAAGCTGTGGACATGGGTGAGGATGACACGACGCGGCTGAAATGTTCACTTTACTTGCCGTTAGGATTATTTTAACAGTTATTCTAATTATTAATTGTTATTTAATATTTCGGAAAAAAAAGTTGTATTGTTATTTTCTGATGGTTAAACATTTCACCAGATATAAGACTTGCAACAGTACACTTTCTTGCAGACAGTTATCTTAAAGTCACATGTATTTTGTTGAAATTGTATTATATGTCTTACTTGCGTGTAAAGCCTGTTAACAAGCTGCTCTAACAAAAACATTTAGAATTTGTGATCAATAGATGATGTTTAATTATATTTATTTGAATTGATTCTATTGTTTCCTGAGCTCCTCCTGACAGCCAGCTGTGTTATAAGATAATATGAGTATGCTTGAAAACAAACGGCTGTGATTGGTTGAATCATTCTGATTCTGGCTCCTACACACGCTTTCTATATTCACCACCTCTGTAAGTGTGTTTGCCAAACTGAGGACCATTCTGATCCATCATGGGGGGGTTTGAAACTAAACACCAGTGTAACCTAGCAAACTGCAATATGCCTAAACACAATGGCATGTGGCGAATGGAACAAGTTCTGTCATGGGAAATGGATAATAACCTTTTTATTCATTTTCACAAACTTGATTGTTTGATGTGGATTTAGTTTGAATGACAGAATTGTGAAAAATAAATATGACTGTCAATAAATGATTCTCAGTAAGAAATGGTCATTGAGGTGTAAGGCATCTACAGGGAAACCACATGATACTATACAACAGCTCAGTGAACTGGCCTCAGTAACCATGGTGACGGATGTTCACTGCTCATGGCTCTGTACTTTCTGAGCCCATCTCAACAGGCCTGCAGTTCAGCACCACGGACAGCTCCCAGTCCCACAGCAGCTCAGAGCTCTGTGCATCTGCCCGACTTTCTTATAAATCTATGATTAATTACAATGTGCAAGATGACTGCAGCATGTAAAGAATGAATAAATCAATAACTAATGTGGATACTTACAGGACCACAGTGAGGCAAAACAAAGTTTACATCATATTTGTAAGCCATGGAAGACAAGGATGATGAGAATGAGTTTCTTGCATGTGAGAGCTGGATTGTAATAACTTCAAAACCACCAGGACCTGGGCTGTTATCTGTGCTCAGCTGCTGGTGAAAGCTCTTATTCGTGCTTACTGAGTGTCATGGGGCAATAATAGAATAAAGAGGAAAGCCAGAGGACTGTTGCAGCCTAATGAAATGCTCTCAGAATCATTTCTGTCACTGAGCTGAGTAAACCTCCTCCTTTGTCTTCAGTCCTCCTACAGATTCAACTGAAGTCCGGTACATCTGATTTATCTCCCAGCACCCCCTCCTACCCTCTTCGTTGAGGTTGAGGTTCTGCAAGCTCTTGTTCAGGTTACGGGCGGTGGTGGCAGCTCTGATGTTGGTGTAGGAGTTGACGGAGCGCAGGCGGGGGATGGCCGGGCTGTCCCTCACTGGAGTCAGGTTCCCGGGCTCTGGGGGGGGAGAGGAGGAGGGGGGATTTTACCCAAACACGTGAAATCAGTGTGTTCTTGTTAGAAAAATATCACTCGTCACCAGCTTGAGCTTCAATACCAGGATACATGTATTTATTATCCTGGCAAGAATGGAAGTAGTCATCACACACAGAGCATTTGGTACTAGTTCCTGAACAGTGTCCTTCACATGCTGATATACAAGAGAGGGAGTTACACAGTCACAAGATGGAGGAATAGAAAGCAGTATTCAATGTTTACTTCAGATTAGCTCCACGTCAGAAATGATCCTGCTTGTCATATGTCTATCTCCATAGAGGCTGAATCATCATGTTAAGTGGTAGTGGAGTTCACAGCGCTTCGCCATTGACAACGGGGGGGGGGGGGGGGGGGGTGTGTGTGTGATAGTGGAGCGTGTGAACGTTGTGATCAGCTGTTTTAGCGCAGGGCTGCTGTACAGACCGACGTTACCAGCAGCCCTGTCTGTGCACACGGAGACCGACTCTGTCGTCCGGTGATCTAACCGCCTTCTGGCAAAGCTTCACAAGTACGTCGGTACGCAAATGCGCTTTGTGACACAAGTGACGGTACGCATTTCAGATTGTTGCCGCGCATGCGTACCAGTTATGTGCACCCCTGATTATAGGGCTGCATGATTCGGAAAAAAAATGGTTTGGATTATTTTGACTGCAATATGCTTTACACTACTGGAGGCATTGATCAATTGTTGGGCTTTTCCCATTGACTTATATTGGGAAAAAGATTTCAATAATGTAATTTAATAAACTTGTAACTAAGTCACTGACACAGATTCTGTTACTGAAACAAAAATCAATCCTCAAGGTTCAAGGCTTTTATTGATCATACGTACATAGCTACAGTAGATATGACGATGCTGTTATTTGATGGGGTTTTTGTGCCCCTGACTCTCTTTCGTCATGCTTTAAATGTTGCCCTCTCATAAAATAACTGCCGAAAGCTCACCCCCCATCAGCCTGCAACCAATACTGTGCATCCTGCCATTCAAATATTGCACTTTCGATAAGCTTAGGCGTGTCTTTACACTAACAATGAACAATGCAGGTATTTACTTCTTTATACAGGGACACATGCTTTGATTCACATGCCTTGGTAATGCTCTGAATATATTGGGTTCAATCTCCTAAACCTTAACTATGCGCAGATAAAGGGAACCTTTTAGAGGGCTTTCTGCTAAACTGAGTTTCTCAGTGTGTGAACCTGGGATAGTTATTGTACATACTGTATAACTTTGAAAATTCAATAAGTCATAAAATAAAATAATTAGATTTTGGGCAGATTTTGACTCCATTCACTTTACAGAAACATTGTTAAGGCACAGTGAATCACCAACTACTAGAATACACACAAGCTCTTCTGCATTGATGTTGACTAAGATCAGTGCCAAAAACACTCATGTTAAAGTGTGCATAAAAAGACAAGATCAAGTGTGCGTGTGCGTGTGTGTGTGTGTGTGTGTGTGTGTGTGTGTGTGTGTGTGTGTGTGTGTGTGTGTGTGTGTGTGTGTGTGTGCGTGCATGGGGTACCTGCAGTGTTGGCTGGTGAGGGCACTGTGTAGTTCTTCTCCTCCTCGATGAACTGCAGGGCCACGGTACAGAAGTTGCTCTCATACTGGACCACCAGGTGACTCAGCGCCACCACCAGCTCCTGCACACACACACGGGGAGAAAAGTAAACATGAGGATCACTTCTACTGATTGTAACTTCTTAAAAACATGTGTTTTAGGGGCGGTTATGGCTCAGGGGTTATCGTGGTTTGATCCCCAGCTCCTGCAGTCAACATGTTGATCTGTCCTTAGGCAAGATATTAAAACCTAAATTAGGTGTGCAAATGTTTGTTTACATTAAATGGCAGCCTCTGCCTCTGTGTGAATGCTGACTTGAGGGGTTGCAGACTAGAAAAGTGCTGTGTCAATGCAGTCCGTTTACCATTACATATATTACACAATTTAAAATCCTATAACTGGATTAAATAGTAGTCCTTCAAAAATGTTGAAACCTTAGTTTCTACTTAAAGATATATCATATCAACATCCGTTTAATTCTATAACATTTATATGTTCTGTGTGAGAGTGTTTTGAGCGTCAGTGACCTTGCGGACCACCGGGCTGCCGTCGTTGATCAGCTGGGCCAGCATCATCACCACGTTGTGGTCGATGGTGGTGGAGTGGTCCGTCCGCTCACCAGAGTTCCCCACAAACGTCCCGAGAGCAAAGACGGCCGCACACCTCACCTGCCGACACACACACACACACACACACACACACACACACACACACACACACACACACACACACACACACACACACACACACACACACACACACACACACACACACACACACACACACACACACACACACACACACACACACACACACACACACACACACACACACACACACACACACACACACACAGTTCAACAGAGTTGATGTATCATTGTAGGTCAACCCGGAGAGCTTTGCATGTGCTCCCTCAACAAAAATCAATGGGCTTTTTCAATTGGATTTTAGAATATTCCAGAAAATAAGCTTTGTGCCTAACATGTTTATGAGATTTACACATTTTGTTAAGCAGAATAATCTCCACATATAAACACCACGTAAATGCAAACAGCAGAAGTAAAGATCTAACGTTAGGCTATAAACAAATGACATCAAGGAAGCTAATGTTCAGCGTGATGACGTTTAGCAGTCGTATTTACTCACTTTTTGGCACTGTTTTTATGACACAGAAGCTTTGGACATTCACAAATGGGGTAATTACTGAAGTATTTTATGTAGTAGAAAAAGAAAGTATGATCAGTATGAAACCCACTGTAGAATAACAGTGCTGTGTGCTCCAGTGAGCTGCTTTTTGTCACTATAACTCATTAGTTTCTCCACACGCTTTGTTGGACGTTTAATTCAAACTTGCCATCAAACAGGAGGAATTTTCCGTGATGAATTGGATTCACAAACTGAACAAATCTCAACCAGCACAATATCTAATATTTGTTTGTTGTATCAACAGAATTTGTTTTAGTTTTTGTGTGCAAGCATCAAGATGTTTTTAATCTGGTGACGCAGCTTTAGACATTCTACAGCACACAGATGTTGCTTTGATACAGTGTGCTTTTCTCTAATTAAAATGATCGGCTGTAACTTTTCAACTAGTTGTAATTTGAGTTAGAATAAAGGACAAGATGAGGTTTGTACAGGCACTGTGACTTCAATCCAAATTAAACACATGAATATCATACTGAAAAGCATCTTAATGTGGAAAACTCACTCACAGAATTCAAAAAGACTTGAATTCTTTCTAACCATTTATGCTTCAATGTGTCAACTTCAATTAAGGTCCTTTTGGAAGCCGTAGTTAGTAATGATATTGTATTTCCAAGCCTTGTATAAAAACTCATACAACATATAGGAATATGGTAATATGTAGCTGTATCTGTGATTGTCTGGGATACTCATAAACAGTTTAGTGGCACCACTGTGGCACAGTTATGTTTTTTCATTTTAATAATCTGTGCAGGTTTTCAGTCAGTTTCTACATTTTCAGCACAATAAAATGTCAATCCTTGCTTGTTTCTTTAAATGACTGAGGACTAAACAATCTGTGTGCATTTGTGTTTTGCTTTTAAAAACATCCTTTCCTTATGATTTGTCTATACCAGGGATCACCAACTACATTTGTCCAAGGGCCAAAATGTATCCAATAGACACTTTCGCGAGCCAGCGATTTTTATATATAGCTCAGAATTGTAAAGTTGTTGACCGGGGGGGCGGGGGCGGGGGGGGGAGCACGCTCAGGTACTGCGGAGCGCATAAAACTTAGCAGACTCTTCACGCTAACGAAGGATCACTTCTAGGCTACTGTCCCGCAGCTCCTGTCTCTCTGTTGGACTCTACTGGCAGGCTACTGCTGCGGAGCGCATACAGCAGACTCTTCACAACGAAGGATCACTTCTTCTTGAAGGCAGGGAAGGCTACGCAGTACGCAGTCTACTGTCCCGCAGCTGCTGCCTCTCTGTTGGACTCCGGTACTGCACATTACTCACGAGACGTTGTAAAAAGAAAAATGAGTGGGGGGCGAACGCACTAACCACTCCGCCAACGCCACAGTCACCCCCGTCGTGCGGGCCGGATGAGAATGACTGGCGGGCTGGATGTGGCCTGCCAGTTGATGGTCACTGGTCTATACTGTAGCCGCCTGCACTCAGTAGAATGAATACTGCAGCATTCCTTTAGACTTCGTTCCACTCCATCCCATCTTCTCTTCTGTGACAAATATATTGTTTAAAAATACTTTTTTTATGAAAAGTATCCTGTTAACTTATTTAGGTATATTTAAATTATATTATTTAAGTAACAAAACAAAAAAAAAAACTCCCGGTCTGGACTTAACTTTTAAATGTATAAATAACTTTACTTCACATACTTCTAGAAATCCACAAGATAAATATATCACAATTTAGATCTAATGTGTGTGTTTTGTGTGTGTGTTAGTAGCAGTGTTGGGTGTAACGCGTTACAAAGTAACTGTAATCACATTACATTTTTGTAATGTAACGCGTTACTGTTATGTAGAGAGTAACGAAGTGAAGTAATATATAATTTTTTTTAAAGTAATGAGTAATATGTAATACATTACTTTTTTTGAGTAACTTCCCCATCACTGGTTAGTAGTGAGTTGCAAACTATGGCTCAACAGTATCATCGTAGCAGTTAATTAAACTCTGTTCCGTCACAGATCTATGTCTGTCCCCCTCAACTATTCATCACCTCCTTCACTCATCTGCACTGTGACACACACACATGTGGTGTGTGTGTGTGTGTGTGTGTGTGTGTGTGTGTGTGTGTGTGTGTGTGTGTGTGTGTGTGTGTGTGTGTGTGTGTGTATGCTGTGCAAACCAATTCAAAAGAATAATACATTTCTGTTTTCGTCCGCCTGTTATAAAATGGTGTGATTCTTGAATGAGAAAAATCTAATGTCTATAGCGGTAAAACACACACAAACAAGTGGTCTTAGTTAACCATGAGATGAAATCATTTGCAAAACGAGATACTATATATTCTTGAATTGTCAGAGTGGGAGTGATACTTTGTTTTTTAAGATGACCCTCTCACCTCGGGGATGGGGTCCGTCAGCAGGGTGTAGAGCTTCTCGTGGGCGCTGTCCCGGACCCCGCACCAGCGCGCCGGGTCGAAGTTCTGCCAGATGCGGCCCAGGCAGATGGCCACCCACTGGCGGAGCAGAGGGTGGGGGTCCGACAGCTGCTCCAGGCAGTTGGCTATTAGGTTGCCCTGCAGACACGCCTCCTGGTGGGAGGGAGAAGGAGTGATGCAAGTTAAAGAGTGTGAGAGATGTTCAGTAGGTTTTAAAACCAACGTACCATTATGAACCATGAAAAGGAAGACAATGTGGGGCAGGGGATCTCAGAGGAAGCGTGTGCAGACCTCGGGTGTTTCTCAATGTCGAGGAGGCTTGCTTGGTAGCACATGTCTTCCGAGTCACTTGCTTCAGAAGCGAGGCAAGAATCCTTCCTAGCCTCGGAAAACGAAGAATTGTGGAACAGGCTAACAGGTGTGCGTCATATGCGAGGCCCCGCCTTCAATGGAGCGCTATTTCCGCCAAAGATTTGGAAATTGGTCCGTGCGCAAAGCATTGTGGGGATTTTAAGACCGCGGAGTCTACACATGTGCAGCCTCGAAATGTCTCGCTACGAAGTACGCCGGCCTCGGTAGAATTCCAAGTATGCTGGACATTGGAACAGTCCTTTGGCGGGACTCGATGACGTAGTATGCTTGAAAAAGTGGCTCTGGAGCAGCCTTCCTCGACATTGAGAAACACCCCTCATCTGTCTGCACCACACATGGTTTGATTCAGGGTAAAGATGTTCACCGCACTCGTTGGCCTAAAGTCAAGCTGTTCAATGACAATATAGACCGCTCTGTGAAAACACCTGTGAACCATGTGCATATGTTTTGGTCTCTGCACAACTACTGGACTTAAAATGTCAATACTTGGATGCTTATAGAGCCTAATGCCATTACTGCAGTATTGGGTGTCCCTCAGCTACCTTTACCTAGGCTAAAAGCAGACATTATAGTCTTTGCAACATCACTGGCAAGACGCCAAATACTAACAAGATGCAACTCACCAACACCACCTTCCCACACTCTGTGGATAATCATTTACAGCTTGAAAACATCTGTCACACACTGAAAGGCTCCTCCAGGAAGTCATTCCAGCACAGATTTGTACCATAAACTGCATGGCAGTGAGAAGGAAGAAATCAGAGGAATTGGCACAAGTTAGGACCCTCACTCCCTCAGTGTGACAGCTGACCTAATCCATGACAAATGATCTTCACTAGTTCTCAATGTGTGGTTAAAACAGAGGAAAGGCATTTTTTCAATCCACCATATGCCGTTTCTTTAAGTTGCAAAGGAGTGATAGAGAGATAATACGTCTGTGTATCCCGCATTATTCAGAGGGGAATCACAGCGGCTTTGTCGATGCTTTAGCTAAGTGTCGGAAAATTGGCGGACTTCAAGACAATAATTCAGAAATCATCTTATAATAAAGTTTTTAAAAAACTCTGATTTATCTTACCAGTTTGTCATGCATTCATTTATTACAACACAACACGTGTATTGGTTTCATCTCCCCCTTAAATACAAGTAAATATTAGTATTTTAAACTTGTAATTAATCAAGATTAATCACATATTATTATTGTCATGGAGTGACATCACTAGTGTAGGCAGGGGCGTTTCCTGGACCTGGAAACATTCGGGACTTAGCCCACAGTGGCGGCGCCAGATATTTTCTTTTGGGGGTGCTTTGGGGTAGCTTGACGTTTCATAGAGGGTGCTCAAACATGTAGGGTTTCCCATTAAAGGTGGGGTAGGTCATTTCAGAGAAACCAGCTCGAGTGTGCTAGAATTTGAAAATACACAACCGGAGAAAATCTGCCACTTCCTTACAGAGCCCCTCCTCCAACACACACGAACGCACACATGACCAATGAGGGCACGAGATAAGTTTGTGCACAGATGGAAGGCTGACAGGCAGGTAGGCCATCCAGTTATTTTAGCCGGGCCGGCTAAAATGATTGGTCGTGCTTTTTACAGGATTTTTTGTCAAAGCACTTAAGATATTCATTGCTATCGGGATGTTAAGAGCATTCCATGGAATATAACAAAAAGTGTATCTCGAGCCGGTTTCTCAAACTTACCGACCCCACCTTTAATGTACCGGGCGCTACAGTGGAATGTTCTACTGCAACACTCTCCACGCAAATACACAGTACACCCGCGACAGTTACAATGAAGGCCCGATAATCAGCTCAGGGTATATAGGTGTAAGCAGGGGTAAAGTGCTATTTTTATAAGTGGACCTAACATCCGAAGATTATTTTTTAAATATTGAAGTTAAAAGCATCAATCTGGTGCACTTTGAGAGCAACATTAGGAGATCTATGGATATAACTCTCAACACCCATATGAAACAGAACTGTAAACAGATTTACTTTTTCTTTATGGATATTTTACAAATCACTCCCCTTTCAAACTCTATTCTTGTTTTATTTCATTTTTAGTGAGTTACTCAGGTGAGTACCAGGACACAGCGTTTGGTACTCACCCCACACGAAGCGTGGTCCTCCTCAGTGTCTCCTTCACTGTCCTCTATTTATACTTCTTGCATGCTAGATGATGAAGATGATGAAGATGCACCTCCCTGTCTCTTTTTAAGCCTCCGATTTGCTTTCTGCCAAAACTGTGAAGTCCTTGCATTTCCTGAGGCCAAGTTGAAGGATCAAATACTAAGAAATGATCACATGACTTGAAGTCATATCTGATTTCAGATGTGGGAAGTTACTAAGTACACTTATTCAAGTACTGTACTTAAGTACAATTTTCAGATATTTGTACCTGACATATTAATAATATTTGATGCCATTGTTTGTTTTTCACTTAGTTCTGACAGCTGAACTTGCTGCTCCTCACAGAAGAAGAAGAGCAAAGAGGAGATAGTCTGTGTGAATTACTTAAAATTGTGGGTAAGGGTAGATAGCCCCCATTGTTCTGTGACCTGTCAATCATCAAACCGGGGGTCATATTTCATTATGTGTTCATTTTTATCTGAAGTTGTACCCATGGATGTATAAAGAATAGTTCTACGGCCAAGGTATTCTCTGTGGGGACTTCCGGCAACCATCTTGATTCTGATTGGCCAGAACACTCGAAAAAACATCAGCAAAGATGTTTTATTGTGAAGATGATCACTACGTGACAGAAGTTTTCAAAACCGTTTATGGTATCCGGTACTCAGTCCAACGCCTACTGCATGCACAGTGTTAGAAAATCGGGCCTTCAAAAATAAAAGTTTGACTTTTTTTCCACAAAAAAGATTATATAAATGTTTTCCTTCACTCACATATCTGCGAACCACTAGAAACGGGTTGAGGACCACTGATGTGGAGTGCACCCTCTATTCAAAATGCTTTTAAAACTTTCGTCTTTTGTCAAAATCAATTTCATTCGCCTTCAGATTCCTCCACTTCGCCAGAACACAAGCAGAGACTGGATTGACCGTCAAGGACGCTGGACTTTGTGAAAAGCCAGAAAATGTGTGTGTCAAAATAACAAAAATAAAGGCCCTCTTGAGTTAAATGTTCTAAACAGTTCACATTAATGTCAAAGTTATTTTTCTTTTAAAGGCTTTCTTTTAATCAGTTCAACAGAAATACTGCTTTGATTCACTTTTGATTTCCTTCACTTCTATTTCATTATTGTGAGAATTTTTTCAAGATTTCTCAAGGTTTGAAAAAAGTCTAACACTTTTGGAAAAATGTACAACTCAAAAGAATATCTGAAAGTTGGTTTAAGACATTTGAATGCAGAAACATTTAGATTTTAAACATCTCCTATCATGCTATTTTTAGATGTATATTCTGGGTCTCAGATATATAAAAATATATTAAAAAACATGTCTACAGTATAATGTGTTTTGCTCAAAATACCAAAAAAGAAAAGAGGGGGGGAGCTTATGCTGAGTATCTGATCAGGAGATTTCTACCCAGATACAGCTAAATGCTGCACTTTGTTTCTGATAGCGATATTTCTGATAGGGCCGTGGGTGTAAAGCCAGCCCACATCTCCGATATGTCGTCATATCAGCAGCAAATAAGGATCAGCTCTGTTGTATCCCCGTTTTTAGAGATGTGGGTAAGGAGGAAAAGAGAGAGGGTGGTATTTTCTGACACTTTGTGAGTTCCCTGACACACCGGGGACACATATTTATGTATACAGGACATCGAAAAGTGCATTTTGCATGATAGGAGACCTTTAAGGGGTTTAGTTTTTTCAATCAGTGTTGAGCTGCTGTTGTCTTCCTATTCAACTATTCAGCTTCGCCGGCTCCAGGGCGTTTCCACATTGCTGCATAATGGCCTGGCACTTCTGGTTAAAGCTTAATTGCTATTACCTTACATGATGTCACCAACTTTGACAACCTTTACTTGCCAAATAAAAAGTTTTAAAGCTTCTGTATGAACTATTAAGCTATGAAGGATGGACAGAAGGATGGATGGATAGATAGTTCTAAAGCTAAATAGCTAAGATTTGCTAGCTAAATAGCACAATGACAGGTTAATGGAGTTGGGCTCTCGGTTCAATCGTTTTTATAAATGTCAACACTGTGGACCGGAAGTTGGAATTCTTTTTAGATGACCTTCATTTTGGCACTTCCATCACTTTAGTACTTAGCTGTTCAACACATATGCTAACAAGATCACTGAATAAGTATTATTATAGGACAACAATGTTATAATAATGACACATTGAACATTAGGAATGACTGGTTTCTTCTACTGTTGATGTAACTTTGTGATAACTAAGAACATTTGGTAAACATCGAAGCCACAACAAATGGACCTGTTGTGTGTGCTGAGATATCCAGATTGAGATATCAAAAAAATGAATAATCTTTTATCAGCAGCGACACCATGTGCCCCCGTCTCCTCGCCCCCCCCTTGTCTACTTTCTTCCCGTGCCTCAGATCACTTGTGCGTCGCCCCTTCATCTCTCATGGAACCTCCCAGCTGAACCTCAGGAATATTAAGACGCCGTGCTCTGTGGCGTGTTCGCAGCAGCGATAGCGCAGTAATGAGCGCTGTAGTTGAAAGTAAGAGGGATAAATAATGGAGCCGTGGAGCAGAAAGAGAGTCTCTGTAATGTTGGAGGGCATCTATTATTTACAGGCCTGTGAGAGAGGTAGGAGTGTTTAGGAACGGTGCTATAGAAGAGGAATGGTTGTTTCTGAGCTCGAGAGCACATATAGCTTTTCTGATTTGTCACATTGATGTGATGTGGAGAGAGAAGCACTGTCAAATAACATTCAGAAGTAGACAGAGAAATAACTGCAGAGAGCAGGAGAGAGAAACAAAAGGGAGGGATGGTGGAATATTTCTTCGTGGAAGAGTATGCGTACTCCAAGAAACAGACGAGGCACAAAAGGCTTCTGGGATTGAACACAGGGGTCTAGGAACGGGCCAAAGTGACACTTGTGGTGATCAAGTGTCACCACAGAGGTGGCTGGGTTTGGAGACGGAGATTAGAGAGGCGACTGTTGCTGACAAAACTGTCACATAACCAATATCTCCAGGAAATACACAATGGACGAAAGAGCCATCTCTCAAAGTGACGGCTGTCCCTGGAAGAACCCCAGGAGGTTCTGGTGATGGAAGTAAATTAATATTTTGTTACATTCTCCCTTGGGGCTTCTAGTAAACAAACGTACAACAGTGCAGAAATACACACATCTCCAAACACACACTCTTACCTGTCCCGTGGTGTAGCTGTTGACGATAACAGCCAATATGAAGACAGCCATGGTACGATGCTCAGCCTGGAACAAATGAATAAACTGTAAGATCTTATGTCCACACATCATCTTTCATTTTACTTTCTGAACCCATAGACTGCATGTCTTTTTGAGTTTTGAATTTTGGTTGCAACTATATATTTTGTATGTGGCTGTGTCGCCATCTTTGGCACCAGGAATGACACAAGTACACACGAATATGTCAGAATAAACATCCCTGAACTGAAAACACACAGTGAAAGGGTTCAAGTTTCAAACCAGTAACATGTACAGCGACTTGTCAATCAAAAGCTTACCCGGCTTTATCGTCTGTTTAACTTTCAAACGGACCATCATTTACTTAATGAACATCATGCTATATTCAAGAAGGTTTCAAATTCAGACCATTCATTCATTAGGAAAATGATGGAAGATAATAAATCAAGTGAGAAGTTTGGTCCTTTTCTCATAGACTTCCATACAATCACACTTCTTTTAGCAACCAGTGGCCTCACCCCCTACTGGCCACTAGAAAGAATGCTGTTTAAGGTACTTCAGCATTGCCTTTCCTTTTTGAACCACATATTGCTGAAGTGTAAAAACTGGAAGAAAAGAAGAGATATATAACTTCAAACATCCCTTAAAAACCTAAGTTGATGGACAAAGTTTCTCTGAGTTTTTAGGATGCAGGTCTCATTATCTGTCCAGAGAATTATCCATTAGATTTGTTGCTCATGTTTACATTTCCTCTTAATGCATATTTAAAAAAACAACATAATAGGATGGCATTATTGCTTTTGTTTTTTATCATATGTTGCTGAATAACAATACATGACCCTTGAATCTAAAGAAAATCCCGCATTCGTCACTTCATTCACAAAAGGGCTTGGTGGATACTCACCGGCATATAACTGTCGGCCAACACCGACAGGAAGTACTTGTGTCCGTTGTCCTTCACCAGGTCAGCTTGGCACGACTGCAGAGAGAAAGACAGAGAAGATGAGGAAGAGGAGGAAGAGGTTCACTTTACTGCAGAGGTTGAGTTTCTGTCTATTCCTCCCATGGCCATGAATGCATGTCACTTTGTTCACTGAAATGACTGCTACTCCTTTTTAGCCATGGTTGTGTACTTATTGTATTACTAATGTGTGCTTTCCGTTTTTATTATTTCATGTCTCTTTTGAGTGTTTATAATCAAGATTTTGTTGTAACGTCTGTTAAAATCAAGATGTGTATTGTCTGTGACTCTGAATCATTTATCTTAATGCAAAACAAATCACAGTCTACTACATACTTTAGTTTTCAGTCTGTTACATACATTGCAGTAAAGTTTACTCTCCAAAATCAAAGTCAATCGTTTGAATTTTACTTAAAACTGTAGCAACTTTATTCATTCAGATTTTCAATCAAGCAAGGATAATGAAATCATTGTTAATTTGTCTAAATTTGGACTGACCCCAATTCATTTGCTTTAATAAAAGCACACAGGGTTTAAAGTGCATCTGCACTTTCAGTTGATGCAAAATCATCAGTGCAATGACAATATAAATCATTGTGCCCGCTTCACACAAAATCAAATTGACTCTGAAACGTATGTTTTATTTTTCTCCTACTCCTTGTGTTTATCTTCATTTCCAGACAGATGGTATTTGTATAATGACAATAAGCTTGTGATGTAAAACTGCTTTCTAAAAATGTTAAACAATTCAGGATAGTAAGGGAATATAAAATATAAGGCAGCAAGTGCTTCACAGAACGTACACTGTCCACGGCGAGGATTTTAGCCCAGATGAAGACCAGCAGAGGCCGCAGCTCTCTGGCCGAGCTCTGGAGCAGCTTCAGAACGTAGGGGAAGATCCCCACTGAGAGGGCCTGCACACACACACACAGCACACACACAGCACACACACACACACACACACACCACACACACACACACCACACACACACACACACACACACACACACACAGCACACACACACACACACACACACACACACACACACACACACACACACACACACACACACACACACTACAACACACACACACACACACACACACACACACACCACACACACACACACACACACACACACACACACACACACACACACACACACACACACACACACACACACACACACACACACACACACACACACACGTGATATAGCAGTTAAGATGGAGGCTTTGCTACTGAATGGCTTTCTGTGGCCTGAAATGTAAAAATGATGACAATTTGATGAGTTCCCATGTCTGTCCTTTTCTCCCCAGCTTTGTCAATAAGCTGAGTTTGCATTTTGGAGCGTTCTGTATAACTGTGATTGACAGCACAAGGCGGTTCTTTTTTTAACAAAGCAATAGAGAGCCGAAGTCCCTCCCTTTCCGGTGGAACTCCATGGGACCTTATTTCGGAAAAAGTATGTATTGAAGTCAATGGGGAGAGAAAAGTTATCTTTTGATCCCGTTTGAATTGTGCCACGAATTACACATATGATGTTCGTCAATCTTAAAAAATCATTGTGCGAGACCAGAGATGTAGTTCATTGAGCGGTTTCACACAAAATTGACTTGCAAAATTATCTTTTAAATAATAAAATAAAAGGAAACCCTGTTCGAAATATCATAAGGGTCTGACTATTGTCTTAAGATGGACGAAGGAATGGGGAACCTATCCTTTAATGCACAAAAATCAAAGTGGTACATTTCTTACTCTAGTAAAAGAAGCGAATACAAAAAAAAGGGTCTACATCCAAATTACACAAGACATTTTTCTCACATAAGGTAACACATATTGACATTTTTCAAGGTACTGTTTGAAATTGGAAATTCCAATATTGTTACACCAGAGCCTTTTGACTCCATTCTAAAAGGCGTAAATGATCAGCCAGGGTTTTTGCTGCTGAATAAAAACACAGCATGTTGTGCTAAATATATTGTTATTTGTAATGATTGTGTGCTGTTATCCAGCGTGTGGATAGTCCTCTTGCGAGAGAGGGTTTGGCTTTTATAAGAAAACATTCTTTTGTACAGAAAAATTGCATTTATATGACGATTGGCCTTCTTACTTAAATAATGACAGACTGTATATATATATATATATCTATATCTATATCTATATCTATATCTATATCTATATAGATATAGATATAGATATAGATATAGATATAGATATAGATATAGATATAGATATAGATATAGATATAGATATAGATATATATATATATATCTATCTATATATATATATATCTATATATATATATATATATATATCTATAGAATTTCCTCTTACATTGTTTGTTCGAGTGTGTACATTACAAAGATGGAAAAAGGCTCGACTTCATGGTATGCTATGCCTCTCTGTGAGCATCTAGTCCTTAACGTACCAGACTGACGGCCCAGGGACCTAGATCCAGGAAGCGTCCGAGCAGGTCCAGAGCTCGAAGCCGATGCACCTGACTGAGGAGGACCTGAAAGAGAGCAGAGGTCAGAGGTCAACTGAGCTGCCTCCAAACCGAGAGGAAGCCTGATCAAAGAGGAAGAGGAAGGAGAGTGGGAGGAAGTGCTGAGAGCCTGGAGTGAAGCAGGTGGCTCTCACCACTAAGTCGTAAACCAGTGTGTGTGTGTGTGTTTGTGTGTGTGTGTGTGTTGGCGTGTGGCTGCGTCCTCTTGGCTGTTTTTCACTTGGCATTTAAAAGGAGATAAAGGTTTAGGACAATTCCCCAGTGTGTGTGTGTGTGTGTGTGTGTGTGTGTGTGTGTGTGTGTGTGTGTGTGTGTGTGTGTGTGTGTGTGTGTGTGTGTGTGTGTGTGTATGTGTGTGTGTGTATACGCTTGAATTAAGGTGTATAGCACTGAAGCCAAATGCGATCACGACGTAGCAGTTTTGGCAAAAGATAATATTTAAAGGAGGCATATGGTATGCGCTAAAAATGTATATTCTAAGTGTGTGTGTGTGTGCACACAAAGTCTGTGTGAAGGCTGGACACCGGTCCACACCCTTATCCCCACAGTGTGTGTGGGAACAAGCATATGGAGGAACCCACGTCCACACACACACACTTCCACCAACACGAGGTATTCTTAGCACTCTCCGTGACTTCACCCTGCAGAGACCACCAGCAGGAGAGGGGGGGGGCTGAGGGAAGACCGGCCCGGGGCTGCCTCCATCTCCAAGGACCAGCGTGGGAACACGGACATGTACCTGTGTGTGTGGGTGTGTGTTCAAGTGTCTGAGACATAGATCTGTGCTCTATAACAATAAGGAAAGCAGACAAGCTCGATTCATCCAGGGTTCCTACACATTTTCTATTTTAAATCTCATATTTCCTGACTTTACTGTATATTAGGAAGGACTTTTGACAAAAGAGTACAAATAAAAAGATAATTATTAATTCTATTTGAAAATGAATTGCTATGCTATTGTCTTGCCAAATAATATCCACTGTAGCTCATACAAATCAACTAACAAGAAATTGTTTTTCCACAGATATGGGCATTTCAATTACAGATATTTAGAGAGCAGATGAGGCCTTTGCCTTAGATATCAGTGAATATTGTTCTACAGTGGCCCACACACACATTGTATCCACATGATTAAAATGACATGCAAACATGCATGTCAATTCCATCAAAGCAGGGATGAAAAACCCCTTAACATGCTGTTATAATAAAATGTGTTGAAATGTGTGTGTGTGTGTGTGTGTGTGCATATTTGCCTCCTCATTTGCGTAACACCTTTAGCGCGATGAGTAAGTGTGTACGAGCTGCGAGACGCACGCGTCACCTTATTATGTGTGACATCACTCCTGCCTGATGTGAATGTGCTGCTGTAACCGTAACAACACAACACAAAGAGGCGATGTAATCCCATTGCACAATCTGTTAATCCTTCCTGGATGAAATGGCTGTTGTCAAGACAACCCTGCATCGTATCTCATTCCTGCGCTCTGTTGTCCTCCCTTTGCTCATTTCATTAAACAGCATTATTGATGGAGCCCCTCTCTGTTGCCCGTTTTCTTGTAGCTCATTGCATCTTTTCAAATGGAGCCAGATTATATTTGGGCACCAAATCGTAAATCTTCTGAGAATACCCTTGTCTTTTCACTTTATTCTTGTGCAACTCAAAGAGATAAGACCTGTTTGTGTGTCCATCCGTTACATCAGAGAGTGTAGAGGAGCTTTGAGAGGAGTCTGCCCTTAAATCTGAATAATGTTGTATATTCTTCCTTTTTAAAATGATCTTTTAAGCCACCAATGCCTTTAGTGGGGAGTTGAAAGGGGGGGGGCACATAGTCGATGTCACAGACAAACGGTTCCAGGTGGGATTCAGACCTGGGTCTGCAGCGGGGCATGAGCCCCAGTACACAGTATGGGCTACCAGCTATACCAGATCATCAATACAGCGGCCCTATGTTGTGTAATCTTAAAGAGGACATACTCTGCTCATATCCAGGTTCATATCAGTATGTAGTGTCTCTACTGGGACATGTCTCCATGCTCTAATGTTCACAAAGCTCTTTATTCTTCTCATACTGCCTGTGCTGCAGCACCTCTTTTCACCCTCTGTCTGAAACCAGAGCCCAGTCTGCTCTGATTGGTTAGCTGGCCGGCTCTGTTGTGATTGATCAACTGCTTAGAGATGTCCCACCCCTTAGCCTATCACTTACAATATGTTGGAGCGCTAGCCAATAGAAGCAGAAGTGTTACATAGTGATGTCATAATGTTACTGAAGTAAACAAAGATGTCCAATGGAGGAGTTTCAGGCAAGGGGGGGATTTTTAGCCTTTGCAGACCATTGACATGAACAAAAACCTATTCAACACACTACACCAAAAGAATAATAGGGACCCTTTAAAGTCTGCTTTACTTCTGTTGTACACACACACACACACACACACACACACACACACACACACACACACACACACACACACACACACACACACACACACACACACACACACACACACACACACACACACACACACACACACACACACACACACACACACACACACACACACACACACAACACCACACACACCACAACACACACACACACACACCACACACACACACACACACACACACACACACACACACACACACTGCCTTCTCCCTGCCTGTTAACGGCTCCCGACAGAACTGCTGTATGGACGTGCTGCGGCTCGCAGTGTGCTGATTCAGCAGGAAATTACCATTCAACACGGACAGCAGCGCACCACCACTACGCTGTGATATAATATAAGAGCACAACTGTACAACCCCGCGGGATGGTGCTGGAGGGGGGGGGGGGGAAGAGAACATCCAGCTGCTGTAACTCAACAGCTGACGCACTCTGAGCAGGGTTCTTCAGCCAGATTCCAGCCTAATTAAAGCTTCCCGAACTAATGTTACACCCCCAAAGGGAGCACAGCAGACACCGCTCCTGTCACTGACTTTTGTTGCAGGGTTGTAATGAAGATAACTGGCCAGAAAACGCAGAACTCAATCTAGAGCTAGAATTTTGCAGTGCATTTCTCACGCTGTGTTTTGTATGGAGGAGGGGGGGGTGGAGATAAATAAAGGGAGGAGAAGAATAGAAGTATTGCTCTAATGCTGGGGTGGGGAACCTCCGGCCTCCGGCCTCCGGGCCGCATACGGACCACGAGACCATTTGGTACGGCCCTCGATGCAGGGGCGGACTGGGACAAAAATTCAGCCCTGGAAACTGACCCAGTCCGGCCACATGAAATGTCAATTGTTAGAAATCCGCTGTTTATTATTTAAAGTTTTACGTCCGATTCGCTCCTTTTTTCCTCTCTGTACACAGCTCCAGTTTGGGCATTGGCCTGTCATCAGATTTCCTTTTTAGTTGCTGCTGTAGTAGCGGAAGTTTAGTAAAATTATTTTTTATGAAATGATCCAAATCTCCACCCTCCATAATTGCACTTGTTTCAGTTGCTTGCTACTTTTTAAGGGCGGTGATGACAGTTACAGTACAAACTGAAGTTGATGCGATTTGATTGGATTGGCATGACGTGAGCCTCATCTGATTGGTCATTCCCTCAATTTTTTTTCACCAAGGGAAGCCAATTTTGGCTGGCCACCTCTCGCAACACAGAGTGCAATCTACTGTTTCACCATAACATCTAGAGGGGCGCTGTTTCACTCTTTGTAAAATACTCAATGAGAATGGCGGAGAGATGGGCCGGCAGAATAATTACCGAAACTAAACGAAGTGTTTTTATTTATTTATTAAAATTATAACTACAATCCAAAAAAACAGGGGAAGCCTGGCTTCCCTTGGCCTCCAGGAGAAAACGCCACTGAGTTCAAGGGATAATTCTCACCCACCTCTTGCTCTTGCCCTGCAGTTGTATGTGCTGGTTCTTCCACCAGCTCAACTCTGTCCCTCATTATGAACGCAGGAGGCTGGCTGTATATCTGAACTCGCGCCCTCATCATTCTCTTCAACATCTTGCACTTGTTCTAAGCTGCTGATGATAGTGCTTGTAGCAGCGCTGCTGCCAAAAAGGTCTGTCAATTTGCGACATTTATATGCATCACCTGCAAGTGACTTCACCTTTTCTTCTCTTGCCTTCTCGGCTGCACCTTTTTCTTTTCGTTTTCTTAGATTTTTATCCATGTTTTTTCATTCTCCCTGTCTGCCGCGGCGTCTAATCCCTTCTCTTCGTGTGGCCGGTCTTTTTTCTTCTTCGTGTGTGATTATTTGACAGATAAGAACCACACAACTGCATTAGCGGCCGCTGTCGCCCTCTGTCGGCCGTCAGCGCAACTTAAATGATGACTTTAAACAATTTTTTTTTAAAGTGCCGGCCGGCCGTCAACGGCCCTTGACGACCGGCCATTCTGTGGTTCTCCAGATTCTACAGATGGCCAGTCCGCCCCTGCCTCGATGTAATTTATAAACACACGCAACAAAAAAAGAATCTAGACCACAAAATAATTAAACAAGCGAGTGCCTGTTTTTCCGGGCCAGGTCAGGGTCCTTGAACACAACACGAGCCTAACGTGTCATCACGTGGTATATGTCTGGTCTGACAGGGGTGCAGTTCTGACGGAGAGCACCAGAACGCCGCTCCGCCACTTCAAAAATGGCAGTACCCATAAGGAGCCGTACACATGCTGCAGTTTTTGCGTGGCTGTGTCTTTAGTTGAAAGCCCAGTGGCGATCTGTTCATCTGTCATACTGATCATACAGTCAATAACTTTGTTGTTATTAGCATCTGGTTAGCTAGCTATGCTAACGAATATAAGAAGCTTTTTCTCCAACCAGTGAGGTAAAGGCACATCTTTATATGATCATTATAGTTATAAAAAAATAAGAGAATAAAGTAAACGGGTATAAAATACTATATGACAGTAAAAAAAAAAAAAAAATACAGTTTAAAAGTAGAGTGATTTGTAAAATATCCATAAAAAAAAAGAAATCTGCTTCCAGTTCTGTTTCATATGGGTGTTGAGAGAGGTATCCATAGATCTCTTCATTTTGCTCTCAAAGTGCACCAGATTGATGCTTTTAACTTCAACATTTAAAAAATAATCTTCGGGGGGGAGCATGCCCCCGGACCCCCCTAGAGGAGGTTAGGTCCGCCCCCCCCCCCCCCAACTTAAATCATGTCCACATGGATAGGAAACTAAATACATTTGCACACATCTTGTGTCCATATCTTTCTGTTTTGGTGGTCATGCCACAACCGTGCACGTGCATGCATGCGCGAGTCATGGTAAGATATCTGGATTAAGAGGTTGCTTTTTCTTTGCACAGCATGAAAGAAAGGCCAAATGAATGGGCTGTGATTTTAGTATCTTTAAGCAGAGGTCAATCATTTGTACGGCCCTCGGAGGATGTTGAAAACATTGAAATGGCCCTTGAGAGGAAAAAGGTTCCCCACCCCTGCTCTAATGGGTATTTTCAAAGCCAGTGGTAGACTCTATGCCGGTGTGGTGTGTTTTTCATTTGCTCCTGTGTAATAGGAGATTGAAGCCCTATTCAAACAGTAAATATGCAAGATTGGTGGCTTTATCTATTTCTTAAATTCATGATTTTCAAAAATTGGTCTCAGTTACACAAGTCATTTATTGGTGAGATGGTAAAGTGGCAGATCGACTGTTATTAAGGTGCAAACCAAAAATAAGTTAGCATTTAAGCACTTTCCCTCATTTCAAAGACATCATTTTTTGTTTTATGATGCAAAATATGACAGTACCCCACTATTAAGTGTCTGAAGCTTTAACGCAATTTAAAAAAGGGCGGATGCAAAAAAATTCACTTCTGGAAAAGGAATTTAGGCTTCAACTATTATGAAAGTGGTGTTAATATGTCGAGATTATCCTGCTGATCAGTACGTGTAGGTATCAAATGTGTTTGCCACAGATCTTATTTTTTACAATGTTCCAAAATCCAATGAAAAAATCCCTAAGCCTTTTTGTCGTGGGAACCCTTGCCATTCTAACTTCCTAACTACTGCACTACTCTTTTTCTAAGAGGTAGATAAGCATAATGAAGAGATGCACAACATGTACATAAACTGATATTCTGGGAGGAAGTAGGAGTTAGATATACAAATGTATTTGCAAATAAATTAGCTTAGATTAGTTTTTTTCTACATTATTTTATTCAATATAAGTATGTATGGACCTCAGCTTGCTTTACACCCAAAATGTATGTTATGTAAAAAATCCACAGACCAAACACTATTTAATGTGTGTGTGTGTGTGTGTGTACCTGCAGTACGATGGGGAGTTGCTCAGGAGGGTTTCTGTTCTCCACTCCCATGGTCAGCCACACCTGGAACGCCGTCAGCTGCTCCGCAAAGAAGGGACTGTGCTGTGGACACAAACACACACACAAGGTTTATCACCATTGTATCACTATTCCTCTTCTCTCCCTCCCTCACACACACACAGTAAGGAGCCAGTCCGCAGTGACTAGCTTATCATTTCATAAGAGCCCTGACACAAGGAGCTCAGAAGTGTCACTGCACTGCAGTAACAACATAAATCCTGATCTATCATCTTCCCCCCCCCCCCCCCTCTCAGTTGGCAGTTTGCCTGATTGATTGGTCGCCGGCTGCAGAGTTTTTGATCACCGAGTGTTAATATTGCAGTGGGAATTACGACAGCGCTGTGTAGAATTCTGATGGATGTAGAGAGGGGAAATATCAACGCTTCGCGGCTGGATGGCTAAATTAATTTGTGCATAATCAAAGCTTAATAACTCAGTACACTCACAGTCACTGATACATGAAAAAGTGGTGTGTGGTTGTAAAAGGCCGAGTTTTGAGACTCCTCTATAGTGTGAAGGTATAATGGTGCATTTTTAACTGGGACCTTATGCTTCATTAGCATCTTCAATTCACATTGGGATATATGTGGATTATTGTTGTTGATTAATGCATCAGTGTTTCTTAGGGTCAAAACAAACTTAAAATAAAAGCGTTTAGTTTATTTAATAAAAGAGCACATGTGAAAAGTGACAGTAGATATAGATTAGTTGCAATTTGGTGCTATATATATATATATATATATATATATATATATATATATATATAAAAAAAAGAAAAATGAATAAAAAAAAAATGTTTTAAACATCTTGAATTTCAGGGGGGGCGCGGGGCTCCGTTGGCGGGGCTCCGTTGGCGGGGCGCAGCGCCCCTCCAAGACAATGGTAGGGGGAACACTGAGGGTTACTGCAGAATTCAATAAGTTCAATTTTAATCTGTTTTAAACTTTTTTACCACAAAGAAAGCTATTTTTTGTTTTCCAAAATAGTAACGCTTGATTAAAAAGCTGTTTTTCATTGCATCACAGATAACACATCCAAATCATTCTTATTGATATAAATAATTAAATGAACCTGAAACTAGATAAGCTGCAGAAAAGAGATAGATTGATTCCTTCAAAATCATTTATTATTTCCTTAAAATTGCAAACAGCCCAGTACTGTAGCTACAGTGACACCACTCACAACACATTATTTCATTTTTTTGTATGTATTTCAAATTTAGATTCTTTCTTTTTTTGTTTTACAGATAGTCATCAATTTATCTGAATCTTATTTTTCAATTTCGTTATCATTTGATTAATGATAATTAGTGAAGTTATTTATTTAGATCTTTTAGTTGAAAATATGGTGGCCAACAGGTGCCAATACGCTACAATGTCCCAAAACACTTTAGGAGAAACGCGCTGCATTTTGAAAAACAATACAAATATAAAAACACAAATGTGCCAAAACACATCCAGGGGACACTAAAAGGTGACGCACACAGCTGGGACCGGAGCACCTGTTGACGTTGGGGGATTATAAAGTTGGCAAACTGTCACTGTTGTTAGAAACTTTCCTAAAATGTAAGGTTTATCGGCTTATTTTAACAAAGTCATTGCAAGATTCCTTCCAATATTATTGCAGATCTGCTGCAGCAAATATACTGACAAAACACTTACAACTATGAAACCGACTAACTAACAACTCATTTCCATGTGTTTTGGCACATTTGTGTTTTTTTTTAGCATTGTTTCTGAAACTGCAGGGCGTTTCTCTTTTGTAAGGCATTTGCACCAGTTGGCCACCATAGGTTGTGCTGTGCCTAGTATGTTTATTTTGTCTTTTGTTTCCATTTCAAGGGTTAGCAACCTGAAAAGACAAAGAATAATAAAGGATTTGAGTTATCCTCCAGCCTTTCAAGCTGAGGAAGACATTGACAACGTGTTCTGACCAAACGTCTACAACAGAGGATTGAACAGGCTCCTGTGTGTAACATTCACTGATAGTTTCATCTGCAGATAAAAAAAACATTTTGTAACAAAACAAACTATTTATGACTTTTCTAAGTTACTCTAGATGGGACTTTTTAGTAGCTTCAAAGTCCTTTTAAACTAGGAAACAGAGTTGTATTTACCCCCAATAATGCAGAGTAGGTGGAGGTGGGTAAGTCAGCCCTGAGTCCTGCCTGCAGGCTTTCTTTCAGGCTGCATTGAGACCCAAGAAGCTAGGAGCAGTGGGAGAAAATCTGTTCATTTAAGAAGATTCTAATCTTCAGATTCTGAGGAGATTCACAAATTCTAGTTAAACAGGGTGGTTTTGTGTACTATTTATTTTGAGATTCTGAGCAATAAAAAGGCAGCAAACCCAAACCTAAGAATGTTAATTATGTAATAGGCCGCTTTTATAAAAAGCAACTATGGACATGAAACAATCTTCTATACACATTTATGGTCCAAATGGGTGAAAAGGTCCTTTGAAAGGAGGTTTATCTCTCTTTCTGCAGATAGAGGGGACAGTTCAGAGGCAATAACACGGGGGGAATGGATTCAACAATTAGGTCTGAGAGACATTTAGGTTTATCCACTTAGGAGCTAACACACAGAAGGATTATCAATATGAATTTACAGTACAAACACCATTTTGCAAATTACAGGATGGAAGCAATGATTAGGAGAATAGCAGGAACGTTTTGTCTTTCTTTAAAAGAATAATAGTAGGACGTGATGATTATTTCTATTTCAGTACCAAAAGCAGCAGAATAATAAAGGCTAATGATTGCAAAACATATTTAGAAGAACAGCAAGTGATTACATAGAGAAACACATACTATATGCAGTGTTTCCCCTGCATACTATGTATGCGTGCCGCTGCTATTTTAATCTTTTTTTTTTGTATACATTAAAATAATAATACATGGCGCTCGCATCATCGCCACGGAGGAGCCTCTGTGAGCGAGCGAGACAGAGCGAGAGAGCACACCTTTATCTATTTAATATAGCCTAGTCGTAAAAAATAAAGTAAGAAATCATTCCAATGTGTACTATAGGACAGTACAAAAAAACAGTTTAAAAGGGGAGTGATTAGTAAAAATGTGCATAAATAGAAAGAAAGAATGCTAACTAGGTAACATAAGATAAGAATAAACCAGTTTAAATGATTTGTTATTGGTTGAGATCATATTCTAAAGATGTTTGGATTGTTGAAAAGTATACAGCTCCCTTTCATCTGAGTGTTGAGAGCTGTTTCCATCAATTCATGTTGTGCTCAAAGTGCACCAGATTGATGCATTTCACTTCAACATTTAAAGAAAAATCTTCCCGGGGTTGTACCCCGGACCCCCCTAGAGGAGGTTAGGACCCCCCTAGAGGATGTGAGGTCCACCCCCAAATAAAGCAGGTTAAAATAATTAAATTGCATACATGTTATTTAGATTGTTTGTTATGTGGATGTGTAGTATTTGTGTTACTGTATGTTCAATAAAGGTGATTTAGCAAAATACACCTGTAGAGCCTCAAGAGCCTTTCTTGTGCTGGCAGACACATAGAAACAAATTGGCGGGGCGCACTTCGCACGCACACTAAAAAATTCCACGCGCTCCGCGCTCACATTTTGCTAGGACCGTGTGCCTTAGCAACGCTGCTATGACTCCATCCTAGGGGAAACACTGATATGTGTTATTCCCCTAATGCATATGGTGCTTATTTTACATTTGAGCTGACTTTTCTTTGTGTTATTTCAGATTTATTATTCCAGGTAACTGCATTTATTTTTCTATGGAATTTCTTTCGCTGATAGCCTTGGAACCAACAAGCTAAACGCAAAACAGGCCTGGCAACAGGAACCAATGGGGGAAGAGCCTATCAGAGAATACATTAGCGATTAGAACATAAAACTAATGATGTAAAATCTTCTTTATATTTTCTGCAGCTCGACATGCAGCAGTGTCAGAGAGCCGGAACATGAAGTAAACAGCTGAAGCACATCAGAGGAGGATTAAAGGCTCCTGAAAGACGGAGCAAGACGGAGGGGGAAGGTCTCCTTTAGCGGTCCTCAGAGGCTCAATTACGGGGCCGGTAAGTGTTTTTTGGCCCGAGTGCGGGAGAATGGAGAGGAGGATCGAGGATGGGAAAACTGCTCCCGGGGGAGCGATGGAGAATACGCCCACCTCCGAGCACCAGGTGGAAAGAGAGAAAAGAAAAGGCCCGGATGAAAGTGCTAACATCGGGGAAAGAAGACCATTTTGTCTGCTCTCAGACTTTTTTGCGGACCAAGCAGCTGCTCTCTGCTGCGTCCATCAAACCAGTTGAGTGTGTCTGTGAGTTGACTCAGATATCTTAAGTCATCATCATTTCAATCAGCCTCGTGCAGCGTGTTTCCATCACACTCAGCATCTCACTCACAGTCCCTGCCATGTCAGTAAATACAACATAAAGTGGCTCAAGGCGCTTTCAGCAACTATTCCTTATTTGACACTCACTGGAATTATTAGACCTGACGTTTTACGATGATATCCACTGGGAACGAGATTGTGTGAGTGTGTATATGTGTGTGTTTGAGATGAATAGATGGTGGTGGAGAACTGTTGATGTTTTCAGGCGTCAGTGGTGGACAGATCCCAGATCAGAGCCATACATCAATGACAGATAAGCAGTGACCTACACAAATGGAGCATCTTTCCACCTTTTAAGAGAAGCTGCAAATCGCTGCAGGATCTGTAGGCCTGTCATGATAACGACTTCTGTTGAGCAGCATATTGTCCCAGAAAACCAACTGTGATAAACGGCATCAAATCATGACCCTTTCATTACTCTGATATGATCATATTTAAGCATAATATTGGGAAGATCCTTTCCAAAAGCAATGAACATTTCATTCTTAAGAATATTCACATGTTGTAATAAGAATATTAAAATACCCCAAATAAATGGTTGACTTTCAGGATTTGTCATGGACAATCTTAAATCTAATAATGGCCATGAAACGGTGTATTCTGACATCAAGCACAACAGCTGACTACAGCAAAAAACTGCAAAACCACAACCATATATTGTACGATAAGTTGATCATGTAAAAATGATCAAAGGCTGTGTCAATATATATCGTACAATAAGTTGTAACTTTAAAATAATCTATCTCATGTTCATATGTTGCACTGTTTGTCGATAACGTAATGCAACGTATTATTGAAGTCCTTTCCATATACTGTACGGTCAATTGATAACATTCAAATGATCAAAGGATGTGTCCTTAATGGTAAACTACCTGACAACGCTAAAATGATCGATGAACGCCTCAATATATTATATCATATGTCGATAACGCAAAAAGGATCCAGGCCATATCCATATATCAACAAATAACTTGTTAACGTAATAAGTATTTAAGTCATGCTCATATATTGAAGGATAATTTGATAACATTAAAGTTATTGAAGGTCGCGTCTATACATCTTAAAATATGCCGGAAACTTGAACATGTTCTAGTTCTTGTCCCTATGTCGTCCCGTGCTTAGATTAAGTGAGAATTATTTAAGTCATGTCCATAAATTATACAGTCAGTTGATAACGTTAAAAGTATCAAAGGTAGTGTCCAAAAAATGTACCAATACGTACAAAACTTTAATATTATAGATGGACTTATGTATAATACATATAAAGTATGTTAAGTAGGTAACGTAAAAATATCTTGCTCAATTCCATATATAAAAAATGATCTTGTTCATGTTCATTTATTCTATTAATTATCAATAACGTAAGAATGATTTAAGTCATGTAAAGATATCGCACAATAAGTCGATAAAAAGACCTTTTCCATAGATTGTTCGATAAGCCATTCATGTAAAAAGATATCTAGATCATGATCATATAGAGTACAATAAATCGATGACTCACTCACTCACACTCACTCACTCACTCACACTCACTCACTCACACTCACTCACTCACTCACTCACACACTCACTCACTCACTCACTCACTCACTCACACACTCACACACTCACTCTGAAGGCAGTGCCCTCCTCGATGATGGTGGGCAGCTGAGAGAGGCAGATGTCCACGGCCAGGTCCCACGCCTGCCTGTAGAGAGGAGACACACAAACACACATTACGACATGCATTATAATACATTTTCAGGATAACATGAAAAACACAACCCTTTTTGCTATTTAAAGGGTACAGAGCCTAGTACTTTCCTTTCTCATTACCATTCTCCTCAGCTCATCTTCTACAGCACATATACCTCTAAACTCCCATCTCGAGGTCCTGGAGAGGGCAGCAAGGAGCCTATAATCCCTTTCTAAACGCCAGCGTTCTCTCATGGTCATCATATCTAATTCATGGGGTTATGTAACTCGCATCAAGCCTTTCTGTCTGTCGCTCTTTCCTTCCACTTCCCAGCTCTTTTTTCCTGCGGCAAATTGCGCTCAGGGCCTCGATGGGGCTTCCTGTGTAATGTGATGCTAAACGAGTGACTCGGAGTTCATTCCGTCTGAGACTCATTGTGCTGCTTAAACAGCTTTTACATAAGCTGGGAGCGATATAATAGAGTTTCACTCTGAGTCGACAGCACGGCGTTAAAGGAACAATTAATCCACTGCTGCCATGCAAACATGTAGACATCTGGTAGCGTCTGGAGCTGATACAAAGCATTGCTGTCTGATTGGAAAACTAGACGCTCACTTAAATCCTTCAACCGTTTTACATTTTAAAAGTCAAGAAACAGGCAATTTATCCCTGCCTTCATGTCAACTGGTTCACAGGAGCATGTTCAGGCTGAACGGGAGAAGCTTTTTATTCAGCTGTCGCTCCAGCATTCAACACTTTTAGCCTTCTAGCTAAAATGTCAACAGTGCAAAACACATTACTGCATTATTAAGAGCAGGTGGTACTCATGTTGCTGCCATATAAAAGTGTGACTTGAGAAAAAGGACACTATGAAAAAAATCGGATTGATGGTTAAACCTAAGATTATAAAACAGATTTGAAGCAAATCTGATGTTATCAAGCTAACATAACATTAAAGAACAGGTATGCTACATTGAGATTTAAAGGGGACCTATCATGCAAAAGGTACTTCTTGATGTCTTTTATACATAGATATGTGTCCCCAGTGTGTAAGGACACTCACAAAGTGTCAGAAAAGCCAAAACCCTCTCTTTTCCTCCTTACCTACAACGGAGCAGATCCAGATTTGCTGCAGATATGACGTAATATCTGAAATGTGGGCTGGCTTTACACCCACGGCCCTATCATGAACATGATGGCATTTAATCACGGCAGCATTTAGCTGCATCTCAGGTAGAGTTCTGAGCAGGCATAAGCTCCCCCTCCTCTTTTTTTTTTCAAGCTAAGGACCCCGAACCTGCAGTTCTCTCACAGGGCTGAAATAGGGGGATATGAGGGATGTCTAAAATGCATGATCTGTTTGGTATTTTGAGCAAAACACATCATAGACATGTTTTTATATATTTGTAGATTGATCTTGAGCTGAGACCCATAATATATGCCTAAAAATAGCATAATAGGAGACCTTTAAGTGTAATATTTAGTGCATTATTCTTTCTGTATTTAATTTATTTTGCTGAGCATCTGCTACTGTGAGTGTTAACAGCAGCGGCGCCAGTGGAACGTATTCATTGCAATGGAAAGTCATTTACAGACTGGAACCAGTATCCCTTAGGTAGGGTTTTTGTGAGGGAAAATATGCATACAGTAGGTAAAGATGAGAGCAGCGCTACGTCACTGCCTGGTGTCATCAAGGTTTAAACAAATAATTGATGCCAAGTGGAAAAAATGGTTCCATTGTGCCAAAAAGCTGCCATGTTGTGTCTTGCAAAAATGTGTCCAAATGACAGAAAAAGGGACGGATGTCATTGTGTCATTGTTCCGTAACTGATTCATGTATTTGGCTTGTTGTGTAGATGAACAAATGCATCGTATTCCTAACTTTTTTTATTCACTGCAAGTCAAATAACAGCCGATATTTTCACCCAAAATTGGGCGGGGCCATAACATTGATGGAAAGTACTCAGACGGGATTTTCTCAAGTATGTTGGTTATACTTTGACAACACCAGCTGAAAGCCGATTATTAGAAGTTATCCAACCTCAGATCGAAGTGTTCCGTGACGGTGGTTTTGACTGCTGCAAAGTAAATGACTTCCACTCAATGGAAAACTCATTCTCTCTCCATCACACTTGACTTTTTTCAGAATGTCATCTACTTAGATTCTCCGTGATGAAGTAGTGCTGAATGTTCTTTTTTCTCCCACCTCCCATCTTTTATCAAATGTGTAATGTCCGCAAAATGCTGTGTCACTCATCTGCATTTGTACATTTTCTCAGTTTTACTGTGTGCATATCTGGCTATTATCCTTTGGTCTGTTTGCTTTGTGTTGTATGATTTTTTATATGCAATAAAAAGTTAATGGCACAAAACCTAATTCACTCATTATTTTTACCTAATGGAACCTCATCTGTATATTTCATATTTATACAACAGCGTATCACATATACAACAATCTGTATATACTGCAACCCATATATGTGAATATACTGTAAACCCATATGCAATTCAACAATTGAGCAGGCTGTCAAATAAATATCTTGTATTTTTCTTGTTTTGTATCGTGGTACATTTTTAGGTCCTCTCGAGTAATTCATAGATATGAGAAAGTACATTGAACGTTTTAGTCCAAATGAAAATTCAGGTTTCAACAAGTTAAATGTAAGACTTTTTAAGACCTTTTCTGAGACCTCATGAATGCAAGTTAAGGCCCATTTTATTTGTTTATGTTCTAGCTGAGTCAGTCCCTGCAGCAATTCTAACACTTTCATTTCTAAGGTCCCTAATTGTATGTCTTAATACAAAGAAAGCAAAGTAAAGTACAATGAAATCCAAGTCAACATCTGGATCTATGGGGGAGTTTTATGTATGTGCTTGAGTTCATTCTGACCAGAGCTGAAAAACGTTATCTGATTGCAGTGCATATCCAGACCAGCAAATATAAATAAATTATGCTGTTTTTTTTTAACTGAGCTAAAAGTTTTCCAACAAATATCCATCCCTGTTGGTGTTTACGTAATCCAAGAGTAAGGAAACAAGCAGAGGGAGCCGCACCGTGAGAGAGGACAGCATCAACTGCCAATACCAATGAGTAACTCATCACCAAAACCTGTGTGTGTGTGTGTGTGTGTGTGTGTGTGTGTGTGTGTGTGTGTGTGTGTGTGTGTGTGTGTGTGTGTGTGTGTGTGTGTGTGTGTGTGTGTGTGTGTGTGTGTGTGTGTGTGTGTGTGTGTGTGTGTGTGTGTGTGTGTGTGTGTGTGAGATGAGGGGACGGCTGACAACAGAGGAGTGCAGGGGACCAGTTGGCGGCTGACTCAGCTATTTTTCCTGCTGCCTGCAGAGTGGTGCATCGCCCTCACAAACACATAAAGTAGACCCACTCTTAACGGCCCACTCGGGAGTAATCAGCCATGGGTTTATCTGCTCTGCCTTATTCTGCTACATTTGAATAACAATGGCTGTTTGTGTTAGGGCACCAGCATCGATCAACCCGCGTCCCAAATTGCTTAACACCCCTTCTCCATAGCCCCCCCCCCCCCCTCCCGCCCTTCTAGGCTGATTTAAACTTTTATTTTTCTACTCTCCTTTTATCTCTGGCACTTCCATTTTTTATCGTTCCCTCAGTCTCGTTCCCAACACTCTTAAAACATCCCTCTGTCGTTCCTGCTTAATACTGCATGTGCTGCTGTGAAACAAAGTGCAACTCCCAATTTCTTTGGCAGTAAAATGCAATAAAGCCACAATCTAAAATAATGGGTACGAGTGAGAGAGAGAGAGAGACTACTGCCTGCTGGAGGAGCAGTGTTCTTTACAACCAGTGATGCCAGGGTGTTACACAACAAGTCGCTCCTGCAGGCGAATAGAGTGAGAGCTCTACTTTCTTTTTTACACAAGCCAGATAATGAGTGGGAGAGATGGAGGAAGGCATTTATAGAAGAGCAAGAAGAGGAACAACAGATAGTGGCAGAAGTATGTGTGTAACTAAAGGGAGATAGATGATGGGAGAATGTTTCCAGCACGGGGTGGAGGAGCATGAAAAGTCAATGGCTTTTCAGCCATTACAGTTTGAAGCTAATTGTATTGGAATACAATGGGCACTTCGTCTGTTAGGAGATTACGAGTCATTTGTTTATTTTCTTTTCAGATACTTCCATTAATTACAAAATGTAAAGGCTTATTGTAGGTTTTCGTCTTTTCCATGCTTTCTTATATATCTGTGAATACCTCGAGATGACCTAATTATGTTAATATAAATAAAGCGTTTCTGCGATTTTAAGCGTTTCTGTTTGTCCGTTTATCATTTTTGTGATGAGAATATATGGAGGACAAATCAGAAGAATTGTTAAAAGAAGCTCTGGTTTATTCATCATTTATAAAGGATCATAGTATATTATAATGCCCATAGTTTTAATACTTTATATTATTTTGTAATTAAAATCATAATCTTTTTCATTATATTAATCGATTATACTACTAGGTTACCCTAATCGGTAAATGGGTGACTTACGACAGCTAGAGATGTCTGCGCCTCACTGAGTCTTTAATATCCCCAGAGATAAGGTTATTGTGTAGCTTTCAGTCAAAGGTGGAGGTATAAGGCTGCAGGGCGTGGGGGTGTGTGTGTGTGTGTGTGTGTGTGTGTGTGTGTGTGTGTGTGTGTGTGTGTGTGTGTGTTGTGTGTGTGTGTGTGTGTGTGTGTGTGTGTGTTGTGTGTGTGTTGTGTGTGTGTGTGTGTGTGTGTGTGTTGTGTGTGTGTGTGGGGTTAAGGCCCCGGCTCCACGAGGACGAAAACGGGTTGAATCCGCATATTTCTCATGCGTATAGCCCTCTAAGCTCCACGAGGCCGTAAGGGAAACGTAGAAACAGACCCCGCAAACGACAACGGGTCCAAAGGTGGATAGATCTGGGAACGGAGCGCTCTGGGGGGTCCAACGGGGCCGTGGAGTCGCCTATACGGTCATTAGTTTTCATAGCCCCGCCTCTCCCCCGCAGGGTTGCTATCGTGCTCCAGTCGCTACTGACCATGCTACAGTTCTTTGTGCAACATCTACAGGAGCTCCTCCTTGAATTCAGATTATTTATCTTTATCTCGATATGGACATAAACGCGAGTGAAGTCTAATCTGACAGGACGGAGACACGCAGCTCCTCCCGCTGTGATGCAGCGAGAGCAAAACACACACTTCAAGTCAGATCATCACCCTTAGCTATTTTAATTACCTCTCAAACTAAACTAGTTATAAATATGTTAATTTTTACTGTCGGGTCACTCATTACAGGATCAGCTGCTGCATGAGACAGACACTGACGCTGTGAGAAGAGAGGAAAAAGAGACAGGCTCTGTGTATTTGATGATTATATATCATTATATCGTCGTTATTCATTTGTTTTAAAGCTCAATAAATAACAATGAAGACCTTTGACCGGCACTTTTATAATTTTGTCCGGAAGATTTAAACTTTAACACACGCTGACCGGCGAAAAACTCTGCCCGGTTCTGTCGGCCCCCACCGCGGAGAATACACAGAAGTGCAGCCATGACAACCATTCTTCTTCGCTGCTTTTGTGGAGGAAGTTACAGCGCCACGTACAGGTTCGGCATATGTACTGCAGCTTTTCCAGCGTTTGGATGTAAACGGAGCCGTCTCGTGGAGCTTGACACAATCCGGTGTATATTGCGTGGGGACGGAAGGTTTTTTGCGGTTGCATTTGCGTTACTCCGATGCGTTTTGCCGTATTTGTCCTCGTGGAGCCGGGGCCTAAGAGTAAGCGATGCCCATCCTCCATGCAACTTGTCGTGTTGCTCAGTCTTTATTCAGGCTGCTGTCAGTGAAGATGCTGCAGGATGAGCCTTGCTGTGAAGCAGCGAGAAACACGTACAGCAACACTGGAAATCCTCAACTAACAGAAATAACTGAGACACAAATATCAAGGAAATTAAAGCGTGAACGAGGTGTGTGCATATGCTTTGCAGAAGCAGATTAAACACCTACATGGTTTGGCTCACGCTTCCTCAACAGTATTTATTTTGAGAGTTGTGACTTATTAACACATTGACTTAGTTTTTCTGTTTGGTATAATGAATGCGGCTTGGGGAATAAACGTTAACTACAACATTGGCTGTGTGTTTAAATGGATGATGGACTATGTTTGTGCTTCTTTTAAAAACTTGAATTGATTGGTGTGACTAAGTGGAAAATGATGCTCTACATCCGAGGTCTGGCTATGATGCTTCAGGCGGTTGTATTGCTTATTTAAGCGCAGTGAAAGGAATCCTATGAGCATGAGCTTTCTGTGCTGAATGACGGCTCACTTCCTGTTGGCAACATACAGTAGCAGATATATTAACTTGAAACAAAACAGGTAAGTACAGTAAGTTCGGTATTTGTTTCTACGTATTATCTTGGTTCCTCTCTCACATTATTTTCACAGTTCAATAATCGGACATGTTGGCAAACCCACTACAGTACATTGCTGAGAGGATACATTTATGTCAGGCCTGGTCATTTCCCAAGAGAAAAACAAATGAAGCATTACAAGCTACGCTAACTTCATGAAATGCTTCAAATGTCCTGTCACCGAAGAATATATGGTTTGATCTGTTTACAGTTAATATGAGATCATTATGCAGATGAGAAACATATTTGGCATTCCATTACTTTTTTTAGGGAGTTTGTAAGTTGACGCCAGTTTAAAATGTTGACATAGTTTAGCTAACTTTAGCATAGGTGTTGTGTGATTTTTGTTGCTGAGACATAGACAAGCCACGGTCAAAGTTAATTTTCTACAAATGTGTCAGTTTGAATTTTTTGAATTTTATTGTCAGAATGTTCGTAAGATGGATTGTGAAAAGTGGGTCCAATTTTCACTTCTGAGACTATGGGGCCGAAAGATCAAAATCTGTGCTCGAATTGACGTCTCCCATTCAAAGAAAAAAGGACCCACGTGACACACATACAGGAAGTTGTCTCAGAGTACTTTGTCTACTTTCTTTTACCGTATATGGCTACATTTCCAATAGCAGATACAATATCAAAATATTGGAGTTGATAGGAAGCACTTTTGAGGAAACAAGTTAGCAGTGAGGCCTGCTACTAGTTTGAAGCTGAATGGACAGAGCAGATAATAAAAGCAAGTTGCATCTGTACTGCCAGTATTGCTTTAAGCTGTAGAGCAGGGTAGAAAGCAAAGCGGGGAATATCTCACTTTGGCTAAACATGGTCTGTTTATCCAATTACCTATGGTGATAAGAAACATTACTCAACAAACTAAATGCTCACAGGAACACAAAGTGCATTGTTACCAGTTGTTTTTTTTAAAGTAGATTTCTCTTCTGTAAAAGGAGTTTTTATTCAATAAAAGAGGCAATCACTTTTTGGGTAAATAAACCCAGAGGCAGATTTACCATGTGCTCAGAAGTGCCTGAGTTGAATACATTTATTTTATGCCTCCCTGGCTGTTAAAAAGTAAGCATTCAGATTATTAAATACTAAGCATACCATAAAAAACTAAATGTGTCTCATCAGAGAATATATCTGTTATAAGGTCTGTTCATCCTTTAACTTCAGTGTTTAACTAACTGTTGTGTGTCTTACCACATGGCGTGCATGTATGTGGGGGGCAGGCGGGGGCTGCTGACCGGGGTGCAGTTGTACGACCTCATTATCCTCTCGGCCAACAGGAAATTGCGAAACAAGCTGGCCACCAGCAGGTCCTGACGGAACAACTTCTGGAACAAATCTGAGACAGAAAGGCAGAATGGAAATGAGGCTTCACACCAGAGACAGGAAAGGACTATAAAACTAGAAAAGAAAGGACTATAAAACTAATTTAACCAAGATCAGTACATATATGCAGGGGAATCACACGTAAAGAGGCATTGGTCTCTTGTCGAGTAAGCTTTCATTTTCATTTTCTGGTGTTTTGCGTTTGAGCATGCTAGTGCTTATTTTACAGCAGTTACTTCGTTTTTCACATTTGTTACTATTCCAGTTTATCTTATAAAGAGGCCCTTTTATGCTTTTTGGGGTTTTCCCTTTCCTGTAGTGTGTTAAATATGTTTTGGCCAAAATAGACATTGACATCATTGTACTGTATAACTCTTGCGCTTCTATTGGCTAGTGCTCCAACACATTGTACAAGATAGGCTAATGGGAGGGGACATTTCTGACAAAAATCCAAGCGGCTGACCAATCACAACAGAGCCGGCCAGCTAACCAATCAGAGCAGACTGGGCTCTGGTTTCAGACAGAGGGTGAAAAGAGGTGCTGCAGCACAGGCAGTATGAGACATGTCACAGTAGAGACACTACATTCAAATATTAACCTGAAAATCAGCTTAAAGGGACCAATTTAAACAAAGTTTGTTTCATGATGTTCATCAAAGTACTGGGTGTTTAGAATAGAGTCTGGTAGCTTTCAGGAGAGCATTTTCATTTTTTAAATAAATCAAAGAATTGTGCAAATGCTGATTTTTAAAAATTATATATTCACTTCACAGGTGTTTTCATCATTTCCAAAGAGTTGGAGCAAATCAATATTAAATACCACTACAAGACCATTTATCTCTGGAAGGAATTTTGATTGTAACCTTTCCCACTGAAGACAAAAGCCAGTTAGTGGGAAAGACAAGGCCTGGAATGAGTGAATGAAAATAAAACAGGGCAAAAGGAGGACGTTTAATTAGTTGCCACTTTGGAGAGATAAACAGGCTAGTTTCACATGCTTACAGAATATAGAGGACAGTGATATGCAGACTGGGTCCTGGTCACATTTTCATCAGCTCATTCATGTATTCACTCTAATGGGGCCAGCCCAGTCCCATGCCTGTGTGTGTGTGTGTGTGTGTGTGTGTGTGTGTGTGTGTGTGTGTGTGTGTGTGTGTGTGTGTGTGTGTGTGTGTGTGTGTGTGTGTGTATGTGTGCAGTGCCTTCATTACAGGGATTCTCTCTCTTTCTGGGCCGCTTCATGAACAGCAGAGCCTCAGGGTTTAAAAGGCTTTGGCAGCCATCAGCATTGTCACATTTCCATTCGAGCTGAGAAACAGTTTGTCTCATAGGAGTCTTTCAGTGTGAGTGTGAATGTGTGTGTGTGTGTTGCATACAAAAGACAGGTGAGCAATTAGATATGTGCTGCATGCAAAAGTCACTGTAAGAAAAGAGGAGTGTGTGTGAAGGCCTGTGGGTAGTGTTTAGTCTCAGTGTGGGTGAGATTTGCTCGAGTGTGTGCGTTTAACTTGCTTTTGCGGTCGCCATGTTACTGTTAGAATGATACCCCCAATTACTGTGCTAGAAACTCTAAACACAATTAATCTTTTTGAAACGCCAAACTGCCCTTCCGGCTTTTTATATCAACGTCTTCACTATTTTCAACCACGGGGGATGTTCTGGAACTTTCGTACTGCTGATGCTTCACTGCTGTTTGTATTCAGGTGCCCTAAATTGGGCTCCCTGAGAGCTAAACACGCGGGTCATTCTATATTTTATCCCAGGCAACATGGCAAAAAATAAAGATTGTTTTCGAGAGTCTTAAAGCGTAAGTGTTTCTTTAAAAGTGTGACTCTTTATCACGTTCAACACTGGTAACAGCAGTATTTGGGGCTTATTTTCAAAGTGTTGCTTACAGTTCTTATTAGGCGTGCACGATTTGATAAAAAATAAGGAGAGGTTATTCCAATTCACGATATTGAGCTTTTGATCATTTTGGAAACGTTACTCACATGATCAGGTAAGGATTCAATATTAATTTAAATTGTACTTTAACACTACTTTGGCCTTATAGTACAGCGGATAAGCACAACAATTGTGCATTTTATGAGAAAAGCATGACATTTCTAGCATAGTTAGTGCATACCATAAGGTTTATTTTCAGATATGGAGGGAAGTCAGATTTGACCTGTGAGGACCGTGAGAGGTCAAATCCAAGATGGCCGCCAGTCTCTCGGGTCAAATGTTCAAACACGCATAATTTTGGAACCAAACATTGTAGAAAAACATTTAAGGTGTCATATCCAACTAAATTAGGCATGCCCAATCATTTGGTGATACTTTTGAGATCGCCAGAATTCAAGAAAATGAATTTAGGTGAAGATAAAGGTAGAAATTGACCAAAAATAAGCTGTCAATCAGTTGAAATTTGCAAAATGTGTGTGTGTGTGCGTGCGTGTATGTGAGTGATGTGGTATAGTATATTCCAGTGAAGTTATGGTCACCCAGCGCTAGCATTAATACAGAGACTGGAGGAATATGGCTTTACTTGGCACAGTCTGCATGCTGAAGAAAACATTTGTTTTTGTCTTCAAATACATACTTGCATGATTGTGACGAGCATAATATTTGTTCCCCGCCCAACTCTCTAAGTCTAAGTGCTTGAACTCCGTGACACAAGGATGAAGTATGTATAAATGGATGGAACTATCAACAAAACAGCGTTTTATTCCCCAATGTCATATTTAATAGAAAAATAATGATGCACCACTTATTGGAGAAAGAAGAATGGGGAACAGAAAGGTTTAGAGAGGGACAAAATGCTGAAAGAATGAGAGGGAGAGGGAGATGGAAAACAGTTCCATGTAGAGCACAAACAGCTCTCTTAACCCTCGCTGTTATAACAAAGGGCTGCACTCAACTATAAGGTTCACCGCTGTCCCTTTCCACTTACAGAGGGTTGGGGTTCGATTGCCTGCCTGTCCACCTATAAAACGCTGAAGGTTTTTTTTCTGTTCTTTAGTGGCTCACATGGACACTTAGAGGTCATGCAAAGAAAGGGTTATGTATGGTGTGTGTGTGACAGAGAGTGCAGAGAGAACATGGACAAAGGGGATTTGTTTGTCCTTGCATGGCTGTACAATTACTAATACAAAGGTTTACCCATTTAGACTCATGGTATGGAGAACAAAACTCATTTGAAATGACTCTAAGGATATAACAAGTTTTATCCGAGCAGGACATAATATTGGAATTATTACTTTTAAAATATATATTATGCACACCATTTCGTTGTCGTGGTGGCAATAAATGGTTATAAAGGGATGAACAGGGACTATACTATAAGGTGAACTAAATTCAAGCTCAAGCAAATGTGCAAGGAGCCTTCCTTTTATGTATAAAATCAATTAACTTAAATATCTCTGATAATAAACTTAATTTGGATCCCTTGTAGTCTACAACCCATACATAACAGCAGAGACATGATAAATGTCCACACTGATGCTACACTAATCCTGTACCGAAGCCCTTTTTAATTTGTGGTTGTACGGGATATTTTCAACCTGAAATAACTTAAAATCATGAGTAAACAACAAAAAAATGCAAAATATTCCAATATTTCGCATTAAAAAAATACAGTAGCGATTTTGCAACAATTGCAACATTAGCTAAATAAAACGTTTGAAAATAGATAGGTGCTTGCTAATTCTTAAAATATGAATTTGACATAATTTCCTGTTTTGCTAAGGTTGCTTTTTAGTGAAATACTTCAACAAAAATGAAATACAATACATAACTGCGCCATCACACACACACACACACACACACACACACACACACACACAACACACACACACACACACACACACACACACACACACACACACACACACACACACACACACACACACACACACACACACACACACACACACACACACACACACACACACACACACACACACACACACACACACAACACACACACACACACACACACACACACACACACACACACACACACACACACACACACACACACACACGAATGTTTTTCTACAATGTTTGGTTCCAAAATTATGCGTGTTTGAACATTTGACCCAAGAGACTGGCGGGCCATCTTGGATTTGACCTCTCACGGTCCTCACAGGTCAAATCTGACTTCCCTCCACATCTGAAAATAAACCTTATGGTATGCATTAACTATGTTAGAAATGTCATGCTTTTCTCATTAAATGCACAATTGTTATAATATGAGAGCTTATCCGCTGTACTATTAACCAAATATTGTGCTTCATGCTTTTTTTGGGGAAAAAAAAAAAAATTGGGATTATGATACTATTTTGATTCCATCTCATTCTTAAAGAACTCATGGTATACTATTGCCCCACAAGTGCATTGCGTTCCAAAAATAAGTGGTTACTAGAGTCTCTAAAATCATATGTGTTCAATGGGAGCCAGAGCCTTCAACTATTAAGCTCCTCTTCTGTGGAAACAGCTTCCAGTTTGTGTTCGTTAGGAAGACCCCCTCTCCACAATTAAGAGTGGGCTTAAGGCTTGCCTTGAGTCAGCTCTTTTTAAAATGTATACACAAACAACACCTATTGTACACATGTCCATCCTAGGAGAGGGATCCTCCTCTGTAGCTCTGCAAGGTTTTTTCCATTTTTACCACATTCATTTTGGGGTTTTCCTGGTCAGATGTGAGGGTCTGAGATAAATGTCAGTCTTTCCCCTATATACAAATAGCGGCGGCTATTATTAAAATAATAATAAGTGGCGACCCTTTTTGATTTTTGATTGTTTGTTATGTGGATTTGTAGTATTTGTGTTACTGTATGTTCAATAAAGGTGTATTTTGCTAAATCTTGAGACATTGCCACTGTATGTACTCAAGAGCCTTTCTTGTGCTGGCAGACAGATAGAAACATATTGGCGGGGCGCACTTTGCACGCACTAAAAACTTCCACGCGCTCCGCGCTCACATTTTGCTGGGCCCGCGTGCCTTAGCACCGGCTGCTATGACTCCATCCTAGGGGAAACACTGAATGTAATCCTTTCAGTTTGTGTTCAGGAGGCAGACATTGTCTAACAGTCAACAGTAGGCTCAACACTTTCCTTCTTGATAAAGCTTAGAGTAAGGGCTGGCTCAGGCCCCTAGTTGTGCTGAAATACGCTCAGACTGTCTGGTATAAGCTTAGACTGTCGGGGGACTTTCCCCTTTCCTTTTTTTCACATCTTTTTTTATTTTCTGTCTGCACTCATTCCCCCAAAATGCATTTTAGTATCCGTGGCATCATCCCTGGAGTTTGGGTGTCTCCCACCTGGAATGTTGCCAGTATTAAAGGTTACTTCTTGATCATAAGTCATGGCTGTGCTGAACCCCAAGTTATCATCTTTTGCCGGCACCAGGAGGATCGTTTAAACCTGCCTGGATCCATCTTTCTTTTTTCTTCTATTTGTTAACATTGTCATTTTTATCATTTGGATTGTCTATTTGCAAATGTATCATCTTTTTTAATCTATAAACACAACATCTATTGCACATCTGTCTGTCCTGGGAGAGGGGTCCCTCCTCTGTGGCCCTCACTGAGGTTTCTGACATTATTTTCCAGTTTATTTCAGGGAATATTTGTGAACTCTTTCCCTGTGCCTTGTTAGGGTCTAAAAACAGAGGGTGTGGTATTCTGTATAAACTGTAAAGCCTCCTGAGACAAATGTGTAATCTGTGATATTGGGCTATATAAATGAAATATGATTGGTTGATTGATCAATTAATTGTGCCGCACTAGTTTCTATCATTTATATTAATAGCGAACTCAAATCACTCAACAGAGATTTCCCTCACAGGTTAAAAAACCTGCACATCACCACAAAAGAATCCACTTTGTCGTAAACTATTCTGTCAGGTTGTGAAAAATAAAATGGTGATGTTTGATTAAACAGGTGTGCGTAGCCTCACCTCTTGGCAGCACGTTCCAGGCGATGGTGTCCGTTATGGCGGTGAAGATCCAGTTGAGCTCTCCGAGGGGGGTGCGTCTGTCGTTGAGCCTGCCAGGGATCCTGAACACACACAACACACAGATGGCAATGTGTCAGCCGCGCTCACTGTACGTCCCATCACTGACTCAGAGCACCAAGTAGCAACTGCTCAGTAGTATTATCACAACTCATCTGAAGACATTTACATTTACAGCCACTTAGGCTCTGACTCACAGAGACTGACAATGAGTGCATGTTTGAATATTCATGTGTGCTTGAACAAAGAGGAGATACTGAAGGCCAAGAGCTGAGACTCAGAGCAGCGTGAGGCAGACAGGATGTGTCATTCTGTTTGGATTACAGGTACAGAGACACACTGATCCCAGAGGCAGTGGTTATATGGAAAGTACTTTGACTTAAGAAGTATCAAGAATAACGTGCAAACGTCCAAAAGTATGTTGTCAGCTGGTTGTTGCTTTTATTTAAGAAACACCAGGTCCAGTGGCTCTTCCTATCACCCGAATGCCCAAATATATTTTGCAAAAAATCCAGGTGCGTCATTCAAATATATGAATAATTCAAAATACATTTTCCTGATTTAAAACAAAATTATGTTTTGCTCTTGTTTGAGTCTTATCACTTCAGTGTCATTAACCATGGTTATTACACAGATTAGTTGAATACTTGATTCTGATTGGTCAATTTGGACACTCAGTGGTCCGCTGCTAAGGAAGCTCGGATCAAGGAATGTGCAGTCATATCAATCGGCAAAAATAAGTCAGATTTAATATCAGCTGTGGCCTAATAAACACATTCGTTTTTTAATAAGGAAACAACATTGAATACTTTTTGACTATTACATTTGATAATAATGGAGAGCACATGATTTGAATTCATAATGGCTGAACCGTCTGCAATAAAGACAGAATAAGGAAACAGCGCAAGAGAAGTAAAGAGGTTGAAGACACAGAGATCAGCAGAACAAGACAGACAGGAAGTAAACTGTAAAGGGAAGAAGGTATGGGCTCTGACAGAGTTTAAAGACCGGTTAATGGAAAAGAAAATGTGAACAGACTTGCACAGTTACAGAAAACCGCAATCTGTTCTGCCTTCAATTTCAAGTTTGGTGCTGTCGCCACAGTTCCAGCCGTTGGTACGCAGTGGAACGGACTATTTCTTGTTAGCAGGGGCAAATCAAGGGGTAATATTATTAATAATTGCTTTCCGTTTTTAAATATGGACCTGTTGTAGGGCTATGCTGTCTGCATACATTTAATATGTCAATTTAGTTTGGTTTATTTTAGTTATTATCACCACCCCAAGCCTGTGAGATGTGTAGACTGACTTTACTGATCATTGGCTAGAATAGTATTGTATTAAATGCGATTTTACTATATTTTAGGATACAGTATAAAGACAACTGTGTGTTAGAGACATGAACTGTGTAAACCCAGTTATAATTCATCTATTTTAACAGAAACCACCGGCGCAAAGTCGGGTATTTAAAAAAACATATTTGAGTTATTCCGTAACTTGAGGATGGGACGCCCTGGAAATGAGAGCAGGGAAATGACTTTCAAACAGAGACCAAGATGATGCCAAAGTAATCACTGTAGCAAAGCCGAGAAAATGACCTTTATTGTACCGGGGATTCTACCTGATAATGAACGTAAAGCCGTGAGAGAAGACAGGAAGTCAAGCTTGCTCACACATGTTACAGTTAATGTGAGTAAGTGAGTCATTCCTGTCTTGTATTGAAAATGGAGGATATGATTTAAAATGAATGAACAAATAGAGTGGTGCAGTGATGATGTATATTTGTGGGCCTATTTTGAGGTTAGCTTAGCAAGGGCCACGTCAACAAAAAGCAATGGGATTGTTCAATTGGATTTCAGAATATTGCAGCAAACAAGATCTTTGGCAAACATATTTATGATATTTACACGTATTCAGCAAACAAATAATCCCACTTCTGATTTTTGGAGTGTCAATGTAAAAAAGGCTAACATTAGGCTATAAGGGAACTCATCACTGCTGCATGGCTGCACATGACTACCGCTAAGCTAAAGGCGGCTAAAGTTTGGGGAGATGACGTTTGGTGGTCTCATTTATGCACCAGTTTGCAGCGGGCACTTTATTCAAAACATTATTCACAACTGTTGTATTTTGTGTCGTGGAAAAAAACATTTGACAATATCTTAAGCTTGTGTTAACCACAGATCTTATTGTAAGCATTTAACCAAATACTGTTGACTTCGAGGCAAGGGAACCTTAAATGGTAAACCGCCTACTCATTTTCCGATTTGAGCACTTATCCCTGCAGCTCTCTATGAAGGTAAGAATGGAAACTAGAGACAGAAAGTGTTTAAAAGCCCTTTCTGTAATATAGCCAACAATGCTACGCACAGACAATGATGTGTTTGTGTATCTAAGAGACTACAGTAGACTCCAAGACTTTGTGATCAGCATTGTAAGGAATTGACCTGGTCTGTGCAGTATATCACAGTGCGCTCACTTCCTCTTTTAACTTCTTCAACTCAAAATGAAGCGTGCCAGCAGTCATGGTTTAACAGGTTCTCTAGAACAACCCTAAATAAGTTCAAAAGACATTTGAAAGAAAAGTCAATTTATGCTTAAGTTATTTCTTCCAATCCCCTCACCACCCCAGAAATGTCATCACCCAGTGTCACACTACCAAACTTTTGGTCTCCACTGGGGTTTGATGTTCATTAGTTTGTGCACTGGAGCAGTGCCAAGAACTTGTCTTGAGATAGAAGCCAAAAAAATGGTTATATCATTATCTTTAAAAAGACTGACACTTTATTATATAGTCGTAGTACACATCTTGCTAATCAATAAGCACTTATTTTGACTTCTACAGCATATTATCAGCACCAAAGTCTGTCAGCTGGCATGTAAAGTCCACCAGCAGCCCTGTAAATGACTTCTAACTACAGTCTGACCTTTCCCTGCCCTAAACCTCCCATTTCCACCTCTAAGTGACAAATGGTCGTGAGGCTCCTGGCAGGAACCAGCCTCCTGTATACAGTAAGCATGAGGGCCAGCTCCTGAGCTCTTTGAGTGCTTGCCAAAGGCGTCTGGCAAGTCAGCACTAAGGATGAACACTCAGCAGTTCATATCAGATGAGGGAAAAGGACGCATATTGGTAAAATGACAGATAGATACTGGTGATAGATGAATGAGTCAATGCTTGTGTCATATTTTCCATTTGTAATAATATCTTGTTTCACCCATTTTAGTTGGGCTCTGTCATCCTGTGTTATTCATATTTACAATGATACATATTAATAGTATTTTTTTGTTATACTCATTAGAAAAGTGCTAGGCTATATTGTCTAGACTAGAGCAAACACATTTCTTTGGTCAAAATTGAATTAAGACCAAAATCTGACTTTCTGTTTTACCAGTTACAAAATAATCATACCATAGAACTTCCAAAAAACTCATTCGAAAGAAAGAGACAAACCAGACTCCATACTAACTAGATAAAGAGAACTGGTCAAATCTAGTTTACCAACCTTTTTCCAAATCTTTCTTAAATTATATTTGTAGATTTGTGTTTTCAAACTCAGAAACTTTAATTACAATATAAACATAAGCTAATAATATCGTTATGGGGGGAAAAGTAAGAGCAGTTAAGTTAGGCTAGACGCTAACAACAAGCCTAGCTTAGCCAAGTACCAGTAGTTGCTGTCTTAAATGATTTGCTTTGGGGAAGTTACCTTTAAATCATAAATTGAAATGTAAAAAATCCTATACTCGTTCATTAGAGTAGTTCATCATTGCACATGGGTTTGTAGGCTAAACTAAACATTTTGTAGTTCCTGCGTTCGTCTTTTGTAAGGCAGTAAAATCATCTTTGTCATTTACCATGTAACCGATGCTACAGTTGCAGTTGCTGAGACACTACAGTAAAAATCACACTTGATACTCTTGTTCATGAACTCTCTAAAACAATGTTGGCGTTAATCGAAAAGACCAAATCATACCTTTATTAGAAGTGTTCAGAATGAGATTAGCACTGCGTAAAAAAAATAATAAAAAGATTCATGCAATCTATCCATAGAGTTATGAGCCTCAACAGAACTGCTGTAAATCTTTGGATTATATGTGATGAAAAGCCTCACAAAGCTGGTTCTATGGTAACTACTGATGGGGCACCTCTTTTGCCTTTGTGCTGTGTAATGTTTGATAGCATGGATACTGACAAGGCAGAAATATTAAAAGGTGCTTTATAGCGCTACCTCGTCTGGATCAATAAACAATTAGTCTTGATACAAGATGTATACATGGTCACAGAGTCCTGTTTTAAAAGGGATTAACTGTTGCTCTTATACCGAGCAAAATGCCAAAGGTTGACCACCTCGAGTGTTGGCGCTGTAAAGCCGTCTCTTTTTCTCTTTTTCTCTGTGGAGCGGGGCCATGAAGTAACTGCCGAGGTGCCATCAAACTGAAATGATTCCCTCAATAATGGAGACTAACTCCAGAGCCCTCCCAGTGAGTTGAGCAGAGCTCGACTTCACACGATGTCAGACACCAAGGGGTCTGGCTTGCCCACTTGGGGGGTCGGTACTCACTGTGAAAGACTCAGAGGGAGGCTGTGAATAGGGATCAAGCCAAGAGAAACCCAAGAGAGAGAGAGTGTGTGTGTGTGTGTGTGTGTGTGTGTGTGTGTGTGTGTGTGTGTGTGTGTGTGTGTGTGTGTGTGTGTGTGTGTGTGTGTGTGTGTGTGTGTGTGTGTGTGTGTGTGTGTGTGTGTGTGTGTGTGTGTGTGTGTGTGTGTGTGTGTGTGTGTGTGTGAAAAAGACTGCAATTGAATGTGAGGCAAGAAGTGAGATCTGCTGCAGATTGAGAGAGATCTGAGCGTATTGTAAAGCAGGTAAAGTCCACAAGGGACGTCGTGACTCTCTTATCTAACGGCTTTTGTGATACAGCCAGAATGTGTGTTGGATGTATGTGGGAAGCAGAGACAGAAGGGTTCACAGATGGAGGAGAGAATGAAATTCAAATCAACAGCGCACAACTTCTCAAAGCTGACATTATTTTGAATGCATTACGCAACAAAGGTTTGTATTATTTCCAGGCCGATGAGTGTTTGATAGGCGCTTTCCAACTGTGTTTGACCTTTAAAGGTGTGAATATGAGTGGTCAGTTAGTGAGATGCCCATTGGCTGTTTGGTCGTGCTCATGCCCACCAGTGCAATTTGGACAGAGCCAGATAAGGACGAAGGAAAAAATGCTGCTTTGGGTATAATGCGAGACCCCACACACATTTTTGAGGCCGAAGAATAACCATCCATACTACATCTCTCAAAAGAAAAGCAACAGTCTTATAATTGTTTTGTTGCTAGGATACCACAGTCATCCGAGAAGTCAAAATCTATCAAAGATTTAGTCTTAAAATGTTAAGCCCTAGGCCTTAATATGCTTTTTGGAGTTTTCCCTTTCCTGTAGTGTGTTATTTAGGTTTGTGTGCATGTAAATGGTCAGCAAAGGCTAAAATTCCCCACTATGCAAAACTCGCGCTTCTATTGGCTGGCGCTCCTACACCTTGTACTTGATAGGCTAAGGTACATTTCGGACACATCTTTAATTGGTCACAACAGAGTCGGCCAGCTAACCAATCAGAGCAGACTGGGCTCTGGTTTCAGACAGAGGGTGAAAAGAGGTGCTGCAGCACAGGCAGTATGAGAAAAATAAAGAGCTTTTTGAACATTAAAGCATGGAGAGACATAAACATGTTTTTATTGCTTTCTTTTTTATGTGCAATAAATAAATAAAAGTAAATGTACACCCAGTCTTGTACACTGTACTTTTAGTCAAACTTGTCTATATCTACTTGAGTTTGGGAGATTTAAGTGACCCGATGTCCACGGAAAAAAACAAGGTTCAAAAGGTGAAAATTGCACAGTTAATATTGTGTTTTATATTCACATGTTTGCAAGTGTAGATTTCTCAATATCTGTCACAACTGGAAATATTCTGGATTATCTGTTAATTTGTTGAAGTTATACTTAAAGTCGCAGTCATTTATATTGTGTTTTCACAAAAGCAAATCTAACTGCGAACATTGACATCATCAATATTTGTTAAGCTTATAAAGCTGTTGATTTTCATGCTGTACATGTGGTCTTTGATTAATTGTAGGAAAACAATTCATTAGTCTAGCCCTAATGCCTACATCTCTGGTCTACCTGCTGCTTCTGTGAGATTTCATGCTTTGATGAAGCATCCCATGAAAAATGTTTGACTTAGTTAGCATCATGACTCAGCTTCATAGGGCAGAGAGGTGAGATGGAAAATGGCTTTGGTTCCATTTTTATTTTATGAGCTCTGAGACCATCCATTATTTAACTCTGAGGGACCTTAGCTGAGTCAGTATTTAGCCCTCAGGACAACATGCTATGAACAAAAACCGCAACTTAAGCATCAAGCCTCACTGATTAAAACAGAAGCAGCTTCTTCAGTCATATTCAGGGCCAGAAGGAAAGCCTTATTCTCTCAACAATTGAGGCATTTAAAGAGGACGTACTGTGTAATGCTCTTTTTCACCTTTGCAGAACATTTATGTACAAAAACCGATTTAACACACTACAGGAAAGGGAATACCTAAGCACTATACCTTTAAGTTAATTAGATCTCATATTTATTTAAACTTATTTTTGACATCTCCTATCTCACATGTTGTTAGTTTTTGGATCTCATATGAAACCTCACTATTTATATAAATGCTTGTACTTCATATCAAAGTCATGTCTCTTGTGAATTAAACTTTTTATTCAATATTGTTAGGAATCAAAAGCCTCTCAAATCCAATCACCGTGGAGCACAGAGCGTAATGCAGGATGGGTCAGCACTTTCTGCAGCACAACCCTTCCTCTTGACCTTACTGGTGATATACAGTATATAAATGTCTAAAGCAGACAGCTAACAAGAAGAGCAGAGCACAGGATCTTAAGAAAGCAAGTGTTGGTTTAAAGCAGTCTTCATTCAAGCCTGACATATGATTGGTTATGTCTGTAGCTTTGAATACAGATCAAAGTTGGCATTTCCTGACAGAAATCATTTAGAGTTTCATTTTGACTCCAGAACCATTGTTAAACTAGGACATCTGATGTTTCCATTCAATGTAAGTAATGCTTTCCCCAGGCTCTGACATAAATTGAGCCCCTTTTACACATGCACTGAAACCCTGAGGTTATATAGACACAACCTGTTGGAGCTGTTTGTCAGCACAGATGTTGAAATCATGTGGAAGGTATAGCCAACTGACTTTACCCTGGTAGCTTCCTAGCCCATCGTCTGTGTATTAACCCATTGAGCCCAAGTGGGAATAAAGATATTAGTATTAAGACGCCAAGAAAGAGAGACAGCGAGATTCGTGAATTAAGTGCTGACGTCAAAGTTGTCAGACAAATGTAGGGAAAAACAAGAGACTTGCTGACTACCTGATTGGTGGTTAACAACGACACACCTCGCCAAAACAAAACTGAGTATTTCTGTTAAGTGAGTATTGTACGCTGGACGAGGAAAAAAATGTGTGAAACTAGTTCTAAAAGTTAATTATAAGAAAGTTGTGATGTAGGTGGGTGCTAACAATCTAATTAGAGCAAGTGAGTCATGAAATACCTTTCCAGTCTTTCCACAAAATCATATCTTTATTCTAGTGAGACAAATGGAAATGAGAAGTTGAGCATGAATGAGCGGTTCAATGTTATGTCTTGTTATGTAATGTAAATCCCACTGACTGATGTTGGTCAGGGCTGGGATGTCTGAATGAAAAACAGTGAGAGATAAACAGAACAAATATCTTATTTCTTCAAAGGCATTCATCCTCACTCTAGTGGTTTCCTATCCTGCAGTAGCTTTACGCACAGTACTAGGGCATTTCCTGCATAATGCTTATCCAATGGAAAGAAAGGCTCTTTGAAAGAAGAGGAGAAGGAGTTGACTGAATAGGGGGGAGAAATCAAAGAAAATATGCAAGCAAGTAAATGATTAATACGAAAGATAATTAAAAAGGTAAAAGAAGGAAGAACAGTAACAAATAAGACCTGGAGAGGTAGGAAACATGTTCACATTATGGATAATCCTCATTAATCTTGTGGAAAACAAGTTGAGAGTAAACATGTCAATTCCACACAAATGATTCACTGACTCTGGACCAATTATTGAGATTTAAAATAGGCCCGATCACAATAAGAAGATATTACATCTTCAATAAATGGTTTCTGAATTATTGCAGAAACGGAAATGTGTAACACATGAGGACACTCATTTCTATTCATGACAATATGACATGCAGTTTGTGGAGATTTGGCAGTTAAAAAAAACGCAAACCAAAATTACTCCAAATTGAAAAAAGTGAATACAACTGCATATTTCAAAAATAAGGTGGTATTTCAATAATGGTCCTATATACTGTAGTGGTAATGTCTGGAATATCCCAAACAGGTTTAAAAACAGTGATCAGGAAGAATGTGTACAATGACAACTCACATAGCTAATTGATCCTAGTCACATTTCTTTGATATGTTGAAATGAATTCACTCATCTCTTCTACTTTGTACTTGTTGGCACCTGTTGCTGATCTGAGTCTATAAAGCCCACTGAAACTCTGTTCATTTCCCTGAGGGATGCCTAAAACCAGACTGCAAAAGTCAAACTGATTGGAATTAGCTGGTGAGTAAAAACAATACTTAAGTTTTAAAAAGAGAAATTCAGAGCATCTGACTGAAGAGTATCACATGACTCTAATCTTCTACTATGCAGTGAATACTGAGCAAAAGGGGGAGGTTTCTTATTTAAGAAATGATTAGAGAAACACCTACAAATTTGCCCCAGTTGAAAAATAAAGCACAGTAAGCTATAAAAGTGTGTTTCAAAAAATGTGCTGCCCTTGAGGTTAATGCATTATAGTCTGCTGTATTTATTCTCTTGAAAGTATAGCGCATAAAACACAAGTTTGGACAGAAAAGTAAAAGTGGTAGAAAGTAGTTGTGTACCATTGTGAGTGTGAAGAACCACACAATGAACACAGTTCTAGGGCAAAGGAATGGGACGAGTAGTGTCACAGTCTCTGCATGAACCTTCTGTGGCACATTTAAGAAAAAAAATCACCTTTAAGCAAACATCATGACACAGCTGAGACACTCTTCAAGTTAACACCTCGGGAGCCTTCCAAAAAGATGAGACAGAGAAATGACAGTCTGCTTTAGAAATACTTACTGCATCTAAAACCTCCTCAACCAACTTAGTTTATGGGTGTCAATTACTCTCCCCCACACGGAAAGGTAGATAAAAAAAAAAAAAGTACCCCTAATGTTTCTGTGACACTACAGAGACTATGGATGTGACATCAATATTGAGTTGATATCACTCAGAGTTCGTGCCTGAGAGCGAAAGATGTTCTGTGCTCAGCCCTCGACACCCCGAGGTTTACTGAAGACATTTAAACCTCTAAATCTGCCAAACTAGTGGCTGTGAGGGGGAAACAAAGGCAGAGAAATATAACTCAAGGATGGAAAACAGCAGAGAGAGGCCTGACAAAAAGAAGGAGGGAGACAGACAGAAAGGAAAACAAGATAATGATCTCTCTTCACTGTACCCTCCTGAGAGCGGGAGACAGTAACAGGAAGAGACTTACTTTATTTATTAAGGATGACGGTGGAGTGCCACTTACTTTTCGATGAGGTCTAACGTCACCCCTGGCACCAACTTGGCACTCTTCTGCATACAAAACCTGGGGGGAAAACAGACATGGAAAGCTGGTGTTAAGAGTTGGAGAAAAAGCATTAGAACTTTGGGCCTCTACCGTACGCGCTTTACAATGCACGAGAGGGACTATCAACTATTAAAACCTTTAAATGAAAAATTAGAGCCTCAAAGATTACAACCACTGGGCACTTTGTGTTTTGGCTGAGTTGCAGTTAAAGGTGAGGCGGCCGGCAGAGTCATATTTCTGAGACGACTGCTGCGGGGGTTATTGTTTACTGTGGGTGGCTGTAAGTCACAGCAGGACGCCTAAACTCATCACACAGCTAGAGGAGAGCAGTGCTGTGTCTCCATTGGGATACTTCCTTTAGTCCTTCCATGTCCTACACGGAGAACAATAAAGCAGTGTATGTGTTGGGCCGTACATTAGGGCTGTGCATCTTCACTGGTCTCACGATTCGATTACGATTATCCTGTCAACGATTCGATTCAATTCGATATCCCGATGCATCACGATTCATACCAATGCGTTGCATCCTCAATTTTCTATATTACTGCACATGGCTTATTTTTCATCAATGAATACATCCAGTAAATACATATGAACTCTCTTTTTATTATTTAGAAAGTGCTTCAGAAATCAATAACATAAATGTCTTGACATTAATTTATAAACCAAAATAAATCAATTGTATAGGTCTAGCCTCCCTATATCTGTGTGTGAAGTTGTTCCATCCTCAAAAACAAAAAACAAATACTTCTGCAGTCTAGCTGCAGCTTCTAGCAACGGGCTTCTGTTAAAAAAAGGACACTGAATGTCCTGAATGTGGCATCACACACAGGACTTGAGTCTGAACACAGCAGACAACAGGAGTATTTACAATAGCATATACAAACAAAAATAGTGCATGTGGGTGCACACTTACATTCTCTGTCTTACTGTTACATAAATCCCATGAATGTATGAGATTAAGTTAGCTTCATTATATCTCAATCAGTGATTAAGTGAATAATAAAGTTTCTATCGGGTCACTCATTATTTTCAGGGAGGGGGCGGGGTTTGGAGGAACGGAGAGGAGACGTGATCGCGGAAGCTTTTTCCTCCTGCCTTCACAAACGTATATATCGTCTGAAAATTGCTAGAGGACATTCATACTCTGCAATCCAAGACTTAATTAAATCCACCAAAAACCTGACATGATTGTAACGCGATTATTTTTGAAAAACATAAATCCTTGTGTCTCTGAGCCGCAGCGACACGGAGTGATTCAGAGCGGGTCCATCTGCTGTTGGTTCTGGACTGGTGTTCTTGTGTTGGTGGATAAAGCAGGCTGCTCCGTGTTTGGTGTTGCTGTGCCGCTGTCACGTCTGTTCCCTGATCTCTGCGTCACCGACCGAATTGATATTAAAGTGACAGAAAAAAAAACGTTATAGTAAAGCCGCGGCCGGAAAATCAGGAAGCAACGTTACTACGCTATAATCGATTATCTTCCGTCACTGCATCGATACCGAATCGTCCACGTCCGCATCGCAATGCATCGTAGAAACGATTATTTTCAACACCCCTACCGTACAGTGTCATCTCAAACAGCTGTGCCCTCATCGGAAGTTAAAATCGACCCTGTTAGCTAGCTAACTAGCAAAGTTTGTTCACGGTACGAAAACATTACTGAGTACCCAATTAACCCGTGTTACGGAGCCAAGATGGCTCTTCAGTGGTAAAGGTATCCAGAATATGCATCTTAAGACAGACAGTGCAGGAATTTCTGACGCAAATACCTTACGTTACTTCAACTTGAGAGAGCTGTCTGAAAATGTAACTAACATTTTTATAAATGTTTGCTTTTTGTGTTCGTTGTTCTAAAGCAAAACTCAAATCAACTGACATCAGCACTTCAACCAACAAGATTCCAATAGTTTCTTAAACCGCCACGTCTTGTTTAACCCCTAACTTCTTAAAATTGATTTTTACACAGTTAATATATTTTATAGTTGCTTATTTAATTTCTGGAAGAAATAGTAAACAACAACTTTTTATTCATTGACAAACTTTGAAACCAATTAAAGCATGATATAGGCCCAGGAATTAATCATGAAAGTATTGAAATTATTCAATAAATGAAGAAGGATAACATTAACTTAGAAAAATAAATAATAAAGTGACACCCTCACATAAGTCAATAAAATTAAGATGATCAGTGTAATAAGTACTGTAATAGTGAATAAGTTTGATCCACCAATGATTGAAGCTACCATCAGGCTTGGAGGACAATTTAAGTTCCAAAAATGCATGGATTGGGAATTTGTATCCAGCAAGTGATCCACTCTGACGTAAAGCATGGCTCTCACATGCAAAGGTTCGTCCTGATGCTGGAGAATAATGAGATCCCACGGCACCACAGTGACTAACCTACTTTTTAAAAAGAGCAGCACAGGCCTGAGTGTGCCCGACACTCAAGAAACAGGCAGGAGTAAGTGTGTTATCTGGACAATTTGTCTTAATGATGAGAATTATTTTTAACAAAACCGACGATGCATAGACTCTGCATTAGTAGATTTGTCAGGGACACGGCTACATCATCGTTTTCCCAATGCAACATAATCCAAGTTGTTTACTAGTGAATTCCATTTAAATACCGGTATAAGTATATTGTTTGCTTTTCTGTCTGTGGGCTGCACAAGGGATACGGTGAATTCCCCAACACGAACAGGGATGATTAACTAAACATGGAGTCTGGCAGAAGCCGACAGACGGTCCGAAGTAAACAGAGCACAGAGCGAGCGGGAGGTTGCATCAGCTGGAGCGTGTTTCACCACAACCCCTGAGCTGGGAGATGTGAAGGCCCTCAGGCGTGGAGGAGAGGAGAGGGGAGCGGGACGAAAGGAAAGAGAAGGAGGAGAGAGGAGAATTTGGTCACATATCTGATGTTACTGTCTCAGGAAAAGTCATGTTTGACCAAAACTGAATTGTAATGACGATGAGTGCTAATAATCATACTTAAAAAAGTTTCCCTCTGGGCATTAAAATAAAATGCCAAACTATGTATCAACGGCATCAAGTGGATATGCTTACCTCTTAGTCTTAATGAGACAAAGATTAAAAAAGGAAATAAAATGTATACTGCTTTTAGAATTTGCCAATGGTGTTAAAATTGGCATCAATCAACGATGTCGCTTTGATGACTTTAGACAGAGATGTAGATGTGTGAATTAGCATTACCACTGCGTGAGAGTACATCTTTATTACAAGCAGGTGGAGAAACTGTACTCCACAAGCTAAAACTAGACCATACGTCACTGTGAAGCTGAATGACATGAATGAACGGTGAGGTTGATGGAAAGAGCTTTTTATCGAGGCTAGCGCAGACAAGTGTCCTCACATGGTCTCAGTCAATTATCTGCCAAATGCACTTCAGCCGGATGTTGCGTTCCAGCTATGAATTGCTAATAATAGGTGCATTTACACCATCTAAAAGGAAAAACATGTCACTACTTTATATTGTAAATATATAGGACACTGAAACAAACAAAAATTCATTTCTGATGCTTCCTAGTGTTTCCTGTTGACGCGTGGTTAAACACACTATGTGTTTTTTTTGCAGTAGGGGGCTCTCAAAATGAACAACAAAAAGATGGAGCTTAGTGGAATTTTGTGGAGGATCAGTGGATGAATATTTGTCATTGCAGCCAGATTCACAGGTGTTTTTTTATCAGAGGTCAATTAATCAGTCTTGTAATCTCAAAACAATAGAACTGGGTGAATTAAACTGGTGAAAACATAGAATAAAGTAGTTGTTACGCCTAAAATCGGTATTTTCACTGTGGTCAACAGGGGCGGGGGGGGGCGAGCCTGTAAACTACCGTTTGCTCAGGTTGTTTCCCACGTACCTTAAGATCCAAACATTGAATCAAATTTTAGGATAAGCCAAAATATTCGCTAAGTTGAATACCAATGGACCTGGTGATAGAAACACTGATTAAAGCAGTTTTACGTTAAAATCTATGTTTTTCTGATGCAGTTTTGCCGAAATAGACTAAAGGGAGCTAAACACTACATTTTGATGACATTTTTGTTTAAATTGTACTTTATTATGTATGTTTCATAAAACAAATAGTATTGGAAATTGTGACACCACAGTGTTGGTTTTATTATGCAAGGTAAGAATAAAAAAATGAAACTGTTTGAGAGGAGGCAGTGACACAGGATAATGAGCTCCAATAGTCCGATGTCTGCGACACAAACAGGCGGACTAGAGAGTTATAACAGACCAGTGTGCTGCGTGGAAAAGTGTGTGTGGTTACTTTGTAGCAGCTTGATTTAATGAGGTAAACAGCTTTGTGTAATGACAATGCACTCTGGTGCGTCGCTTCCAAGCGGCAAACTCTGGGGCAGAGCCGGGAGGCCAATAAGGAAGTGCCACAAACTGCAGTTCATCTATTGGCCGATAGGCGATGACTGCAGAAAGGATCAATTTCCATAGACCCCCATGTTAAAATGCCCAACTTTACAGCAGAAATAAACATGTTTCCACCCCTGGATGCAATACAAATTATTCGGGATAGTTAGATTCCACCTTCATGATTATGAATTGGTGAGTGAATTGTTTTATAACGCAAAATTCTACCGAGCCCGGCGTCCTTCGTAGCGAGAAATTTCGAGGCTGCACATGTGTATCCTCCGCGGTCTTAAAATTCCCACAATGCTTTCCGCACGGACCAATTTCCAAATCTTTGGCGGAAATCGCGCTCCATTTAAGGCGGGGCCTCGCATATGACGCACACCTGCACACCTGTTAGCCATGTTCCACCGTGTTTGTTGTGTTGGTGCCTGGTGGAGTATTCTTCATTTAAATAATCGGACTTATCTTATGGCTCTGCGGTTAAAACAGAACGTCCCTGAATGCAGTTTCTTCGGTAAGTGAAATTCAAGCACTTTATTTCTCACTGGTGTTTTTATTCAGCTAAGCTACATCTGTGTTAACGATGCTATCCATAGCATACAAGTTAAAACATATTAGAGAAGTGTAA